AACCCTACTACTATTTCACACATACCAGTAGTATGTACAATATTTATATGCTGAGTCTTAATTATTTCTTTTGAATTATATCTGAAATAAATACAATTTTCATATATCACAACAAAGCCATTTGTGTGAATGATAAGAATATATACTACAAAAGTTAATTGTGTCATTAAGAATAAATTAGAAATAAACTATCATTTTCAATGAGGAAGACCATCTGATTTTCAACGTATTACCATTTCATTCCACTATCCCTAAGGTTCTAGAATGTTATGGCTATACTGCTTAAAATATTTATCCCATTATAAGAGAATTTTAAAGTCAAGAACATATTGACATTTCTAAAAGTATTATAGTATCACAAGATACACAAAACATTGGTTAAATAGCTTACACAATAAAAACAGTTGCACATGTATCTCAAGTCAGAGGATACTGTAACTTACTTTAGATTAAGTACTTATCTGAAACTACTTATATTATAATCAAGAAAATTAAAGCCCAAATCTACTTATTCAGCAGTTGGATTTATAAAAAAATCAAAGTGAGATAATTTTGCCCTTTCACTACTAATTATTGTTTTTTTTTTGAGATGGAGTCTCATTCTGTTGCCCAGGCTGGAGTGCAGTGGCACGATCTTGGCTCACTGCAAGCTCCGCCACCCAGGTTCACGTCATTCTGCCTCCTCAGCCTCCCGAGTAGCTGGGACTACAGGTGCCCGCTACCATGCCTGGCTACTTTTGTTTCTGTATTTTTAGTAGAGATGGAGTTTCACCATTTTAGCCAGGATAGTCTCGATCTCCTGACCTCGTGATCCGCCCACCTCGGCCTCCCAAAGTGCTGGGATTACAGGTGTGAGCCACTGCAGCAAATTCAGCAGACAACAGTTACATTGAAAGGAAATAGTAAAATGTACTACTGAATATATAAATCTATAAAATACTTCAATGGCTTAAGGAGTTAGTCACCAATGAAGCCCAAATTCCAAAGGATAAAGATCACATTCAAAATCTAATTTGACCAGCAACTAAATATAAATGGTACATGAAGAACATCAAGAGACTTAAAAAGTTTGTTCTTCATGTTTTGAGAACTCTTTGGAGAAGTTGAGGCTTAATCTGATCCTATTTGTGTGCAGAGACTTATGAAGTTATTATAGGAATCCGAAATAAGAAACATTCAATCACGTCCATATTCACAAATATGATGAAATTACCTGATTGTTGTGGTAGAAGTGTCTTTACCTACTAAAAAGTGGTGTTTTCCCTCTCTGATTTGCTGAGCCCATGTGGGATGAAACCATACTACATGTGAAAAATGGCCAGCATAAACCGCAGGCATAATCCAATTTTCAATACTTAATTCTCTGGAAAAGAAATAGACAACATTAGAACTTTAAAGGTGTTTTTTTTTTTTTTCCCCAAGTGTAATTTCATCCACAACATTTTAAGACCACAGGTCTCAAAGTATGGTCCCTTGAGTGGTTCCTAAGACTTTTTCAGGGACATCACTATTACAAAACTATTTTCATGAAAATACTAAGGTATTATTTCCTGTTTTCATTTATTGACATTTGCAAAGATGGTACAAAGGCACTGGTGGGTTAATGTTCCAACATTAATTAAGGCAGCAGCACCAAACTGTTAGTAGTTACTATATTCCTCATTACCGAGCACTGCCAAAATAAATAAATAAATAAATATAAAAGTTTCATTTGAGAACATCTTGATTTTATTAAATTTCCATCTTGAGTATACATTTTAAAATATTCTGTGTGACAAAATGAGAGATGCACAGAAAGCTCTCCTACTATGTAGTTTGAAGCACAACAGTTGTCTCAACAAAAAGCACTTGTGACTGAAATTTGAGGTGAACACCATTTATCTTGAAAGGAGTGATCAATAAACTATGGTTATTCACACTTGATACTGAATTGCTGAATTCCACATTTCAAATAAGCTTTAATAAACTACTACTTTTCAAGTTTTGGTGCACTATCAAAGAATATTCACAATTATCTGAAGAGGCTATGAAAATACGCTTTCCTTTTCCAATTACATGTCTGTGAAAGCCTGAATTTTCATCATATTTTTCAACCAAAACAACATACGGCAATGGACTAAATGCAGAAATAGACATGAGAATCCAATGGTCTCTATAAAGGCAAATATTAAAAGGATTAAACATTGGCCAGGCTGTTTTTGTAAACAAAGTTTTTTTGGTTTGTTTCTTTTAAGAGATGGGGTCTGGTTATGTTGCCCAGTCTGGAGTGCAGAGGCTATCCACAGGCTTGACCACAGCCTGGAACTGCTGGCCTCATGTGATCTTCCCATCTCAGCCTCCTGAGTAGCTGGGACTACAGGCTCATCCACCGTGCCCAGTTTGTAAATAAAGTTTTATTGGAACACAGCTACTGTCATTTGTTTACACAGTGCCTGTGATTGTTTTCACACTACAAAGGCAAAGATAAATAGGTGCAACAAAGACCATATGGCCAGCAAACCTAAAATATTTACTAACCTGGCTCTTTAAGAAAGTTGTCAACACTTGTTGTAAATAAAATGAAAAAGGCAAAAAGACAAACAAAAAACCCCCAAACCCATGAGTTTAGCAAAGTCTATTTCCTATAATTACTTATTATCTACCGCAAATTGTACTTCAAACACAAAAGACCATGAATAAAATCACATATTACCCGAAGAGTGTTTCCTTATCAAACACAGTGTCTGCTGGCATATTCACAGGAATAAGGAGGTCTGGATGTGAGTCGAAATGTAAAAAACTTATATTACTGGCAGGAAGATGCTTTGAGCCTATGGCCCGGTATATAAAGGGTAGAACCTGTAAAAGACACAGGCACACAATCAGAATTAACACTGAAACCATGAGCACACACTCAACTGCAGACTGAAAAATGCTAAGTAATGCACATAATTGAAAGCATACTATGTTGCTGAAAAGTGGAAAAAGATAAAATTTATTGTAGATGGTGCAGATGGTAATAATCTCCAGCATTACTTTGTCCTCAGAACTTCCAACCTGCACCTCTAGCTGCCTTCCTGCTGCCACCTCCAACTCAACAGGTCATGTGGGGAAACAGACCAGGACTGGGGCTTAGGAACAAACTACCGCTTAATGCCTGTTCTAACATTAACTAGGTGTTCAAGGTATCCTAGGTCTCAAAGTATTTTTTTTTTTTTCCTTTAAAAAGGGATAGGGTCTTGCTCAGTCACCCAGCCTGGAGAGTAGTGGTGTGATCATGGCTCACCGCAGCCTTGGGCTCCTGGGCTCAGGCGATCGTCCCACCTCCGTCTCCTGAGTAGCTGGGATTACAGGCATGCACCACTACGCCCAGCTAATTTTTTCACTTCTATTTTTGTAGTGATGGGATTTCGCTCTGCTGTCCAGACTGGTTAGGGTCTTTTTGGTACCCTTAGAATGGTGGAGTTGGGCTAGGTGGTCCATAAAGGCCATTTCTCCTCTTACATCTTCTCTAATTCTAGGTTTAATACCTAATTTGAAAGCACCGTCTAACCTAGGCTTTCTCATTCTCTCAAGGTCATAGACACTATATCCAGGTCCTGAGAAACCTATCTTCCTCTCCTATTAACTGTCACTATCAGTAAATCCCTCTTATGTTTTAACATCCATAGAACCGCCTCCCATCCCAAGCCTACTGATGCTACTTTAAAACAAATTTATTAGATCCATGGGCCTCCTTTGTTGATTTGGAAAAGTCTAGATTAAGACACCAATTTAGCTACTGTAAATCAGCACGGTCATAAACATGGAAACCCCTTTTAGTGTTTATCTATGCAGGGCACTGTCTTAAAATATCTATTTTTTTACACAATATGGGCCGTGTGCAGTAGCTCACGCCTGTAATCCCAGCACTTTGGGAGGCCGACGGGGGCCGATCATGTGAGGTCAGACGTTCAGACCATCCTGGCTAACATGGCGAAGCCCCTTCTCTACTAAAAATACAAAAATTAGCTGGGCACGGTGATGTGTGCCTGTGATCCCAGCTACTCAGGAGGCTGAGGCAGGAGAATCGCTCGACCCCAGGAGGCGGAGGTTGCAGTGAGCCGAGATCGCGCCACTCACTCCAGTGTGGGCAACAGAGAGAGACTCCGTCTCAAAAAAGAAAGAAAGAAAGAAAAAAGAGTTTTAAACACAATATGCACACAATAATACTCCTAACAGCCCTGTGAGTCCTACGATTACTGTCCCCATTTCAGATCAGAGCCCACGTTTCAAGCATAAGGCCTCCCCCATCTAAACAGCAGGGCTGTGGTGGCGATTCCAGGAGACACTTGGAAGCCACAGTTAATTGCAGGTTACGGTCACAGGGCTCTGCAGCCAGCCTGTCCGGGTTTGAATCCCGACGCCACCAGTTGTTTGGTCCTGGGATTTGGGGGCAAATCGAGGTAAATAAGTTGCCCCGACACGTAGGAAGCGCCCATAAATGTCAGTTCTCATTCTTCCTAGTTAGTTGTTTTGGGGTCCTCCCCACAGCAACGGAATCGGGCAGTTTAACTGAATCGGGAGGCCAGACTCTCTGGCCTCCGATGCTAAGGTTGCGCCGTCTGCTTGGCCCTCTGAGCGTCACGGTTTCCGCTGATTCTGCCCCAGAGCCCGGCCGCCGTCCACTCACCTCTTGATGATCCTCCACCACCCACACTGGGAGCTTGGGGTAACGCCGAAGACCAGCGCGCCCTCCCGCGGAGTCACTCATGTTTTTGCGACCGTCAGCTTTGCAGCAAAGCGGTGGCAGCTGGAGAAGACCCGGGAAAGCCGGCGCCTCAACCCGGCCTTCCCTCTCCGGGCGGACGCGCTCCCTCACCCGGTTGTGTTTTTGGATTGGAGGACGTAGAAGGAGGGGGCGGGCTCCAAAGGGTCCTTTGCTGACGATTGGTCTAGACGTCCATCGCTTTCATTGACGCTCCAATCACCGCGTACAAGGCCCTGTGGTGGGCTGAAGCGTTTTCCCTCCCTTGGCCCAGCTGTCTCAGGTTTGCTTTTTAATTCCCTCGGTTTCCTGTTCCGGAGGCGCGGGCGGCGCCACTGTCTTGGTGCCTGGAGTAGTAGCCTGGCTTTTCTCTGACGGCGACCTCGTGGCCCGAGAGCCTTTTATAGGTAAAAAGGGGACCTTGCAAGTGTTCGAAGAGAGTTTCCGAGTGTCAGGATTTAAACGGGGCTGGAGTCTCCGGGGCTGGGGTGAAAGGCGTCCGGGAATTGGGGTCGGGAAGCCCTACTTCAGATCTGCAGCTAAGGGCAAAACAGCGACCCTAGGCCTGGATCCCGCAAGTAGGTGGAAGTGAAAAAGGAGACCTTTCCTTCATTTGTGGAGCACACACTATGGTCCAGGCCTGGGGCCGTCCAGCTCTCGGAGGGGAGCGAGATCCTGAGCTCAGCGCCTGCCTCGTGGGGCGCAGCGTCTGGCGGGAGATGCAAACAGTAAATATGCAGTTACGGATCAGGATGAAGGTGACTGCCCTGCAGATCCACCTGGGGAAAGCGGGGGTTCTCAGTAAAAATGTAGTCACACTTTACAATTCTTTTTACATGCACTGACGTTCCTGGCTGTGTTAACTATTCAAGACAGCTCCCTCAGTGCCTCTGCTTCCAAACCGCAACCGAGAAGAGACAGACGGAGAAAAGAGTTACTTTTCCAGTTGCAGTGAATTCCTTGACTTTTGGATTAAAGTCTGCATCCACAACATAGCCGGACTATGCCTTCAATAGGTCAATTTCATGATTAGTATTTTTAGATTTTCTAACTACAGAAACATCCATGAGGATCTGGCAGTTTCACACTGTGCAAGAGTGTTCATGACAATGACTTTTCCCACCCCTAGGTGCCGCACACACCTTTGTGTTCCCTTAAGCCCTGAACATACCTCTTTTTTGTGTGTTTATTGCATTATTTTGCAAGTATTTTTAAAATACTTACTTGTATGTGGGTTCTGAGTTCCTTGAATCCTACAGGCTGTGTGTCTTACTTATCTCTGAGTCTACAAGGCCAGGGATAGTACTTCCCATGTATGGCTCATTAAATATTGCATGAATCAGTGAAAAGGTCTGCTTTCTGTTGCAGAGATACATGGAAGGGAAATGTACAGTAGCAACATGGAAACATATACTATTGGTGAGACAGTAAACATATATTGACCACCAACTGTGTGTAGGTTCCTTTTCCTGGGGATGTGAAGGATACAGAAATGACTGTGAATCAACCCATATCATCAAGGAGCTGATAATCTAGTGGAGGAGTTAGACATGTGCATACTTCACTGTGATGTGAGGCAGCCTCTGGTAAGTGCTGTAGAAGAATTAAGTATAGACTAAGTCTAGACGGAATGGGATTACCTAAGGGAATCAGGAAGGGCTTCATAGAGGAGGTGGCATTTAAGATTGGTAGATAGATAGAAAAATCACTGGGCAGATTCATATGTTGGGAGATTTTTTTTTTTTTTTTTTGAGATGGAGTTTCGCTCTTGTTGCCCAGGCTAGAGTGCAATGGTGCGATCTGAACTCACTGCAACCTCTGCCTAGGGTGAGAAATTTTAGAAGTAGAACGGGAGCAAAGAACTAACTGGTTCTTTGTACTCGAATGGTAATCCGTTGGGAAAACATGGGGTAGTAGGGTCTTTGTGGGGAAGGTACTGGAGAACAAGCCTGGGTGCAGAGTCTGTAGGGCCTTAAATGCCAAGCACAGACTTTGAACTTGATTCTGTTGGCGGTAAGTAGCCTCAGGAGCACCTGTCTGGGCCCTAGGTTTATCATAAGGGTACTGGACTAGATAATAATAGTCAGGAGTCAGGCACAGTGACTCACGCCTGTAGTTCCAGCTGTTTCGGAGGCTAAGATGGGAGGATTGCTTGAGCCCAGGAGTAAGAGACAGCAGTGAGCTATGATTGCACCACTGCACTCCAGCCTAGGGACAGAGTGAGACTCTGTCTCTAAAAAAAAAAAAAAGATATTATTTGGTGCCTATTATTTATTAAGCACACTGATTGCTAAGATAATCTGAAATTATTTTCATTGGCCATTTGAAAGTCTACATAGTTAAGTTCTATTGGTGAGACTTTTAGTTAGAAAGACTTTAGGAAAATGTTTCTATGTTAAAGCTTTTTGTACTCAATATTTATGTGAGTTTTTTTTTAATGTTTTGCTGAAGTTCAAGTATTTGGAAAATCATTCATGTTTACAGTGTTTTTCTGTGGGAGGAACTGAGAATGAAAATCAAGAATCATAACTGTTGTGTTAACAGGATTATGGTTATGTTTGAATTTGAATGCTGGTCGCACTGTGATTTTTGTGTTTGGTCTATGCCTACATTTTTTTTTTTTTTTTTAGACGGAGCCTCTCTCTGTCACCCAGGCTGGAGTGTGAAGCTCCGCCTCCCGGGTTCTTGCCATTCTCCTGCCTTAGCCTCCCGAGTAGCTGGGACTACAGGTGCCCACCACCACGCTTGGCTAATTTTTTGTATTTTTAGTAGAGACGGGGTTTCACCGTGTTAGCCAGGATGGTCTTGATCTCCTACCCTTGTGATCCGCCTGCCTTGGCCTCCCAAAGTGCTGGGATTACAGGCATGAGCCACCGCGCCCGGCCTATGCCTACATGTTTTTACCATGAAGGAAGTGAGAGTATGAAGGGGGAGAGGGGAAATGATTTTTTTCCCAAGTCTTTTAACAAATTAGAGATGATCTATGCCTATAAGTCTTTTTAGCTGCTGATAGTTTTGAGTTGGCAAAACTGGTAATAATGACATTTTAAAATTTAAGGACATTAAAAATTTAGCTGGAAACTTTAATACAGTTCAACATACTTTGAATTTTGTTAGTAGGCTAAGTGTATTGGAAACTGCAAAATCAGTGTTATGGTAATTGCAGAAATATTTTGTAGCATTGGAAGTTTGGGAAACATATTTATGTCTGTTTTATTCTTTCTGTTTTTTAGAGCTTATATTCTCTGTGGAAGATGTGACATACCCAGGCGGTACGTCATGATGCAGGGCAACACATGGTGAGTGCTGTGATGGGAATGGCAGTAGTTTGGGAGAACCGAGAGAGGAGCAAACATTGGTGCTGGGCTATGGAGGGTGGAAAGGATTTAGATACATGGGGAGAGGGGATGATGTGCTCGTTCTTTCAGCAGTGGGCACAATACAACAGAGGGCCATGCACAGGGCTAGGAAGCCAGACCAGAACAGTTAATAGACATCCCAGAGCACCACCCTGATAGCGCTTGCAGTTCTGAGGTGCAGGCAGACATTAAAGGTGGAATTAGGGCTGGGCGTGGTGGCTCACGCCTGTAATCCCAGCACTTTGGGAGGCCGAGGTGGGTGGATCGCGAGGTTAGGAGATCGAGACCATCCTGGCGAACACTGTGAAATCCCGTCTCTACTAAAAATACAAAAAAATTAGCCGGGCGTCGTGGTGGGGGCCTGTAGTCCCAGTTACTTGGGAGGCTGAGGCAGGAGAATGGCATGAACCTGGGGGGTGGAGCTTGCAATGAGCAGAGATCGTGCCACTGCACTCTAGCCTGGGCCACAGAGCAAGACTCCATCTCAAAAAAAAAAAAAAAAAAAAAAAAAGAAGGTGGAATTAGGTCCTTAGTAGGTGGATTGTAATTATTGTAGGACCTGCCAAGAAGCAGCACAGAGGATTGTAAGAGCAAGGAACCTAATGAAGCCCTGGGGTCAGTGACAGTGGTTATAGAAAGGCCAGCAAGGATATTATTATAATAGCCATGCAAGAGGTGATGGTGTGAAGTAGTTGAATTCAGGAAATATTTATGAAGCAGAAACAATAGGATTTTTTTCTTTATTTTTTTATTAAGGGATAGTTGCCGTATAAGTGATAGCAATTTTAAAATAAATTTTTAGCTAAGGATGGGGGGTGAGGGAGGACAAGTCAGATGATTCCCTGGTATATGTCTTAGGACCATTAATGGTGTCATTTATTGAGATAGGAAATACTAGGAAAAGAGCAAATGTTTGTCTTGGAGGGGAAGGTCATTAATTCCTTTTAGCATATGGTATGTTGAATTTGCAGAGTCAGTGAGACACTCAAGGAGAGAGATGGGGTTGGCAATTGGCAGGGTGGGTCTGGAACTCAGGAGTTGTGGGCTAAAGGTGTAACTTGGGAGTTACTGACAGATTGGTGTTAATTGAAGCAGTGCAGGTGGGTAGCATCACTTTGGAAGAGAGAGTGAGCAGAGTGCCTGGGCTAGACCCCTGAGGAATACCAGACGGTTAAAGTCCCGCTAGCAGAGAAGAAGCTGGTATGGGAGACTGCCAGGAGGAACAGCCTGAGGAGTAGGAAGGCCACAGTGAAGGCGTCATGTCAGGAAGCCAAGAAACGCATCCATGGGGGTGGGGGCTAGGGAGGCAAGTAGGGAGGTATCTGGGGTGATTGCTGCACAGAGATCAAGCAAGGTAATTGAAAATGACCTTTGGCTTTCAAGACAAGGTGGACACTGGTCATGTCACTTATTGGAGTGCTGGTAGAAGCTGAAGTTGGATTAGAGTGAGTTGGAAGTATATACAGTTTTGTCTTAGCTTGGGCTGCCATGACTAAATGTTACAGACTGGGTAACTTAAACTGTAAACATTTATTTCTCACAGTTCTGGAGGCTGGCAGTCTGAGATCAGGGTACCAGCACAGCCAGGTTTCTGATGCATGCCCTCCTCCTGCCTTGTAGGTAGCTGCCTTCTTGTTGTAGTCTCACCTGGCAAGGGGTGGGTGGCGGGGGCTTCTTTTTTCTTCCTCTCTGTGTAACGGTACTAATCCTATCATAATTACCTCTCAGAGTCGCCACTTCCATATAGCATCACATCAGCATTAGGGTTTCATCAGCATTAATTTTGGGGTGGACACAAACATTCAGTCTGTAGCAACTTTTTCAGGTCATTTGACTGTGAAGGGGAGGGCAAAGAACGGGCAAAGTCAAGGGAGACCTGGAGGCCAACGAAAGTACTTTATATTGGAATAGACCCGAGCACTTTCAAATGCTGATGTAATGGGTCTGGTAGCAGGGAGAGGTGGAGGATTGCAGAGGGAGGGTGGTAATCCCAAATATGCATTTGGAAGTGGGAGCGGGGTCTGGGGAGGCAAGCTCCCTTGTTCTTGTGAGGTCAAGATCAGAGGGGAACTTGAGCAAAGGCATAATAGCAAATGGTGAACAATGGGATATTGAATTCGTCATTTTGGAAATGGAGCAGCTTTAAGGAATGGTCGGTCCAGGGACTAAACATGGCAGTGGGCTGTGTGGCCAAGAAAGGGGAAGAGGAGTTTATTGAGCATGAGGGTTTCAGATATTAGCAGGAACTCAGTGTTAAATGGGTGGTATATTCCAGTGGCTTGACTAGGGGGTCTTTGAGTTGCTCATCAAGATGGTCAGGCATTTGTGAAACCCTGTTTACATAGTGAGGATTATTTTTTAAAAAAAACTTTTCACTTTTTCTTTTATGCCATGAAGTCACAGAATGTCATTCCACCCGGGACGAGGGTGTCCCCGAGGACGAGGAGGACATGGAGCCAGACCCTCAGCACCATCCTTTAGGCCCCAAAATCTAAGACTGCTTCACCCTCAGCAGCCTCCTGTGCAATATCAATATGAACCTCCAAGTGTCCCTTCCACCACTTTCTCAAACTCTCCAGCCCCTAATTTTCTCCCTCCACGACCAGACTTTGTACCCTTCCCCCCACCCATGCCTCCATCAGCACAAGGCCCTCTTCCCCCCTGCCCAATCAGGCCTCCTTTCCCCAACCACCAGATGAGGCATCCCTTCCCAGTTCCTCCTTGTTTTCCTCCCATGCCACCACCAATGCCTTGTCCTAATAACCCCCCAGTCCCTGGGGCACCTCCTGGACAAGGCACTTTCCCCTTCATGATGCCCCCTCCCTCCATGCCTCATCCCCCGCCCCCTCCAGTAATGCCACAGCAGGTTAATTATCAGTACCCTCCGGGCTATTCTCACCACAACTTCCCACCTCCCAGTTTTAATAGTTTCCAGAACAACCCTAGTTCTTTCTTGCCCAGTGCTAATAACAGCAGTAGTCCTCATTTCAGACATCTCCCTCCATACCCACTCCCAAAGGCTCCCAGTGAGAGAAGGTCCCCAGAAAGGCTGAAACACTATGATGATCACAGGCACCGAGATCACAGTCATGGGCGAGGTGAGAGGCATCGGTCCCTGGATCGGCGGGAGCGAGGCCGCAGTCCTGACAGGAGAAGACAAGACAGCCGGTACAGAATTGATTATGACCGAGGGAGAACACCGTCTCGCCACCGCAGCTACGAGCGGAGCAGGTAAACCACTTGTGCATAGTTCTTTAATGAACTGCAGAGGCCCAGACACAGTCATTCTCCATTTATGGCAACCAAACCAAAAGGGTCCAGTAGTGCATTTTGATTTATATGAGGAAAGGAAGCACACTTTGGACTCTGTTTTCAAGAGGAAGAAACAACTGACAAGTAAATAAGTTGATGTCAGAAAAAATTGCTTTTAAAAAGCATTCCAAATATATCAGTGTAGATTCATTTCAGTTAATATAAGACTTTCACTCTGCATAATACAGTTGGCATTTTAATGATGATCCCATGAGTTGAAAGATCTTGTATTTTCTGTGTTAGCATAGATTAAATTATGTTCGGAGTGATCATCATGTCAGGTTATAGCATTTGAGTGTTTTTGGAACTGGCGATTTGCATGTTAATAAAGAATCAAATTAGTTAACAGGCAGGACTTTCTGATTTTTAGGATAAATGGAAATTTATTGTACATTGTTGCCTTCTTGGTTGGTTTCTTTGTAAAATGAAGTAAAATTATTTACACATTATGAAAGTTAGTGTTTTTCTTTCTTTTTTTTATGATGGAGTCTCACTACGTTGTCCAGGCAGGAGTGCAATGGCAAGTCTCAGCTCACTGCAACCTCGGTTTCCTTGGTTCAAGCGATTCTGTCACCTCAGCCTCCCAAGTAGATAGGATTACAGGTACACACGACCACACCCTGCTAATTTTTTTTTTTTTTTTTGAGACGGAGTCTCGCTCTGTCACCTAGGCTGGAGTGCAGTGGCACGATCTCCGCTCACTGCAACCTCTGCCTCTGGGTTCAGGTGATTCTCCTGCCTCAGCCTCCTGAGTAGCTGGGATTACAGGTGTGCACCACCACGCCCAGCTAATTTTTGTATTTTTAGTAGAGACGGGGTTTTGCCATGTTGGCCAGGCTGGTCTCGAACTCCTCACCTCAGGTGATCAGCCCCCCTCAGCCTCCCAAAGTGCTGGGATTACAGGTGTGAGCCACCGTGCCTGGCCTAATTTTTGTATTTTTAGCAGAGACAGGGTTTTACCATGTTGGCCAGGCTGGTCTTGAGCTCCTGAACTCAAGTGATCCACTCACCTCGGCCTCCTAAAGTGTTGGGATTATAGATGTGAGCCACCATACCTGGCCCAAAATTGCTTTTAATCTGATTTTGTTGCATTGAAATGGATTCTTACTGAAGAAAGTTGTAGTTAAAAAATACTGTTTCATTCTATATTACATTTCTTTTTTCAAAAGGCCAGATATGTATAAATATGAGAGAAATAAGGTTTCAAGGAGGCATTTCTAAAACTGGGATTCTAGCTGGGCTTACAGAAATACTCTGAAGTTATATGCAACTTTTGTGTGTGTGTGTTTTCCTATAAGGAAGCTTACATCAGATTCTTAAAGAGGAGGGTGTGAGTCTGTTACCCCAAAAGCGTAAGAACCATTGGTTTATATGGAAAAATAAAAGACACATATCAATTGTGCTAATGTTTATTTATGCCTCTGTGAACTCTTACGTTGATGAAGATTTGAGGTCTTCTATTGTCAAGCTAATAATGGTGCTTCTCTTTCTTTCCCCAGTAGTGTACTTACCTTCATTGTCTTGTGGAACTTTTGTGCTGAAAGTGTTTGAGCTCCCCAGACCAAGTGACTTCACTATGGGTTTGCAGAGAGCTGGTCTTGGCTCTTGTTGCTCTGCCAAACAAGAGCAACAATTCACATCTGTTTCCACACTTTTCTCATGGCTCTATCAATTTGGCTCTGACTAAACATTTTGCCAGTCAATTAAATGATAGTGGTCATTCTCTGCCTTGAAGAGAGGGATTAGTGCTTAGAAGGTTCAGAAGGAAAATGCTTTGTTGCCTCTCCCTGGTGGCCTGGTAGAAGGTAGAAGGGAATGTGTTTCTTGTAGGGATGACTGATTTCTGGTGGGCCAAAGCTGAGTGAGAGTTGGTAGACTTTAAAAATCTTTTCAGCATGAACTACTGTTTCTGGTCAATATTCTGTGATGTACAGAATACATCACAGAGTTGGCAGAGTCATAGGCATGTGATAGTTTTTTTTTTTTTTGGAGACAAAGTCTTGCTCTTGTCCCCCAGGCTGGAGTGCGATGGCGCGATCTCAGCTCACTGCAACCTCTGCCTCCCAGGTTCAAGCGATTCTCCTGCCTCAGCCTCCCGAGTAGCTGGGATTATAGGCACTGCCACCATGCCCGGCTAATTTTTGTATTTTTAGTAGAGGCGGGGTTTCACCATGTTGGTCAGGCTGGTCTCATCTGACCTCAAGTGATCCGCCTGCCTTGGCCTCCTAAAGTCCTGGGATTATAGTCGTGAGCCACCACTCCTGGCTGGCATGTGATAGTTAATGTTACTATCATTTTTATGATAGTTTTGTAGTGCAAACGTAAACTGGAAAGAGTAATAGGTAAATAGTTTGTAAATAGTTCTCTTCAGACTCCAAAGTAATTGTTAATAATTTCGTTTCTGGGAAAACATTTTGCAGCAAGCATTCTAGATAGTGTTTTATTTCCCCTTCCGTTTTGAGATGCTGTAATTAGAGGAGTTGTCAGGGCTCTGCTGTAAATCCTAAATTTTTCCATCAAGTCTTCAACTTTGAGTTATGTTTTTGTTTGAAGAAACTCGAATGTCCTGTGAATTGAGGATCTCAGTAAAATCAAGTGTTGTAAGAATTACTTCTAACCTGATTTATTCTAAACCACACTCCTTTACTATGAGGATCTATATCTTTCTAAAATGGTCTTTATTTATATTCGAGTTGTTTTATAATGTGCTTGGGGCATTTGTTTTGGAGCTGCCTAGTGGCATAGCTACATTAGAATTGGCTCCCTTTGGGATATTAATTAGGTGGAATATCAGTCATTTGTCTTATATGACATGCTTTTGTGAAACAAACATGGAGCACATGAAGTCCTAATATAACTTCTAGAAGTATATTGGGAAAACGGAATCTTCATAAATTTGGACTGTGTTAAGTTTATGCAAATTCTATAGTCTGTTCTCTGGCTGCTCCTCCCCTGCTTCTTGGGGTAAGTGAATCTATCCTTTTACAAATTCTGTCTTCCCTATTTTTCTCTGCCTCCAAAATGTGGTTGAATAATAATTGCAAGATTGTCTTAGGGTGGACTGTGTTTAGAAAAGGTCTGTGAAGAAGTGGATATATATATTTGTTGTCATGAAAAATGAAAGTTACTCTAGGGGATAAGGAAAGAAATCGCTACAGGCAAATGTAGTGCACCAAGTACACTGTTGAGCAGAGTGGTAAGGAAGTGTGCCCTGGGCTTCACCTAGCTGGGGAGCACTACCACACAGGAATTCTCACCGCTGTCCTTGGAACGGTAAATGTGTAGCTATTGGAGAACTAGCCTAATGTACCTAAGGAATATCTTAATGTTTGCAAACAAGGAAGAATCTTGGGAAAAGTAACACAAACATAGCTTTCCTTGCTTTAAATGAATTTGTCTTAATAGTGTTACTAATGTTATTTATATCCAAATTGGTCTTTTCAGGTCCTACCCACTCAGAGGTACTAATCATCATTAGAAGTGTTATTCTTAAATGCAAAATTCTATTGGCTATATGTTAAAAAACAAAAATTAGAAATATTCTCTAATTAGAATTTTTATTTAGAAATGTAGGCAATTATTCTTTTCAACAGCCATGTCATTACAAATTACATATATCTTTGACATGTGGCGTGGTTCACTAATTTCTATACAATAACTAAAATTTACTGCCCAAATGTAAACTGTGATTTTAGAAATGTATGAGATGAAGAATGTAGAATCCGAATCTCTGACTGCTTTATTTGGGTTAGCTGGTGTATATGTGAGGATTGTGTATATGTCAGAAACATTATTCAAAGGAGTCTTCCTTTAGAACAGGGGAATCTTTAAGTGGAAAACAATTTCTATTTTAATACTTAAGCACTCACTGATCTCTGTCAGTTTTGTAAGTTCTGTTTTCAATGTATCGACATTTCTGTTTGGCGATAGGTTGGGGAATATTTTTGAGTTCAAACATTTTTATGGTCTTCTTTCTGGACTCAGGTTAATCTAGCATTTTATTTTTCCTATTCTAAGATTGGAAGGTTACTTCCTTTAGACTTGTAGTTCTGATTCAGTCACACTGGAGTTCAGATTTCTCTTCTAGATCCTCATTGTTAAATAGGCTCAAAAGCTATTAATATTATTAAACCCCAGTTTTACATTGGAAGGTTTTAAAAATTCCTCATCTATTTTTTTTACATTAAGTAAGCCCAAAATCTCCATTTAGTTTTTTTCCAGATGAAAAATAGCATTCAAGTGACTTAGTCATGGCCTCATGGCAGGTTAGTGATAGCTGGAACTACAACTCAAGCATATAAGCCATAAGCATTAAGAACTCTTTCATTATAGAATCTTGTCCTAATTTTCACTATAAAAGCTTTATAATTTATATTTATTTGATGGGTGAGATAGAGCATTTTCTAGAAATCAATAGGATGTGGAGTTCTTTAGAGTTTTCCCTCTAGGTTAAATAACCAAGGATTGACTGATTGCAAAGTCTTAAGGGAAGATTAGGATAAGATTCCCATTATTGCATAGCATCACGTATGACTGCTTTCTTTAAAGAAAACTGCAAAAATTGTCCAAGTTAGTTAACTTCTGTAAAGTGAAAAGCTCCTTTATCCTCTAATAAATTAAGAAGGCATAAAAATGTCCCCTAGTGAATAGTGCCTGAAAAATTCATAGATGTGGTCCATTTATCTAGAAGATGAATTCAGTGAAAAGAGATGGTGTTTTTGAGTCTTTCTGTTGAAAACAGCTCTGTGTATTAATTCCTTTAAGAGAGCGAGAACGGGAGAGACACAGGCATCGAGACAACCGAAGATCACCATCTCTGGAAAGGTCCTACAAAAAAGAGTATAAGAGATCTGGAAGGTAAGCAAGGAGTTGACACTGAAAGAAGTCGTAGGATTATCTCCTTGAATTCAAATTTTGTGCTTGTACAGAGCAGCAGCCAAGTCTTCATAATGGCCTCAGAGTCTGTCCAAGGTGACCTGTGAAAAGCTAAACAGCCTTTAATTTAAAAAACTTTACTTTCAAGATGCATTGATTATGCCCAGGGAAAATCTTGATAAATTTCCAAAAATTAGAAATTATACCGACCACTTTTTCTGACCACAGTGCTATAAAACTATACATTAATAATTTTAGAAAACCTTGGAAATTCATAATTATGCTCTTAAATTTACATGTTTCAGAAAAAAAGAGCAAAACTGCAGTCATATTTTCATTAGAAAATGACATTGAGATTGCTGTCACCCACAACTTAAAGGGTGTAATCAATTCTATATCCCAAAGTAAAATTTTTGGTCTTACATTAATATAATGGTAATGAACAACAGCACTCTAGAATCTGACAGATTCGGGGTCAGTTACTAGCTTTCCCAACTTTTATTACTGGGCACAGTTATCAGTTTCTTTGTTTGTAAGATAAGGACCATTATATGTACCTTCTTGAGTGATAAGGGGTCATTGAGATAATGCATGTCAAACACTTAGAACTGGCCTGAAGTAAGTGCCAAATAAGTGGTAACTATATATGTAATTATTATCAGAGCACTTGGCTATAGAAATTGGTGGAACTTAAGAAAAGCAGAAAAAGGTATTTAAAGATAAATTAATGAAATGAAAACAGAACTATAGTGATATAACTATATTGTAAGTAAATGCAAATACAATTTTTAAAGTGGGAAATCAAGAAAAGAAAAATCTACATAATATTAGGTTTGAGAAAGTGTATTATTACAGGAATGAAAGGAAATTTAAAAATTTAAAACAGTATAAAAATTAACTTGAATGTGATGGGTTGATTTCTAAGAAAACAAAAATAATTTCACGTAAGAAGCAGAAAACTTTAATAGGTCAATAACTGGAAAAAATGGAAAAAGCTTACTTTGCGCCACCTCTAAAAAAAGTTTTAAAGTGATCTTGAACACTTAAAAAAAGATGGAAGGAAAGCTCAGATCATTCTGTGGTAGCAGGAAAAACTAGATGGCAAGACCTAACCAAGGGAAAAAAATGGCACAAAAATGACACAGCAATCTCTCTTACAAATATGGATATAAAATCACTAATTAGGATATTAGCAAATGTTTTCAGTAGTTTGTTAAGATAACTGATAGAGTTTATTCCAAGACTGCATGGATAGAAAAGTTAATATTAGAAAATCTGTATTCTTTGTGTCAAGATCTGTAGGGTTATCTCAGTACTTGCCTTTTAGGTATTTAAAGTAAAACCAACATCCATTTGTGCGTAAAAACTAGTAAACTAGAAATATTAGCAGACATCTTTAACATGATGAAGAACGCTAGCTCATGATGAACCTGATGGATACCACCCCAGAGAGTCAAATGTGGTGTTGAAACCTGCAGGCCTTTCCCATACAAATTTGAAAAAAGGCAAGGTGACCCCATTGCTTATAATTGTTACTGAATATCCTTATGATACAATCAACATGCTAATTAAAAACATGGTGTGTTTGTGTGTCCCGGGTATTGTACTGGTATGGGTGATAGAGTCATTAACAAAGGCCCCCACTTAATAGGAAAAGGAAAGTTAAGTGCTGTAAGTGTGTTTGATAGGACACTTACATATTGCTGTGGATTAGATGAGATTAATTAGGAAGGATGAAATGCCATGGATTAGATGGGATTAATTAGGAAGCATGAAAAGAGGGCCTGAGGAGAAGGAGAGGAGATAGGAGAAAAGTGAGGGTATTGTGTCAGTGGACATCATTGAGGACCTATTTGAGGTGGATGATTTTTAAGGTATAAGTGCTGGAAATAGCCTCGGTTTAATGGTTTCTTCTCTAATGGTTGGTAGCTTACAGAGAAGGTAGACTTGAATTCTGAGTTCTGACTAATGCAGTAGAAAATAAAAATGAGAGATGGAAAACTATGAAGGGGAAAAGTTACCAGTTTGCCCTATAGCATATTGGCAAGAAGAAACATGGGGAGTTTGGATTTTGAATTTTGGAGTGCCTAAGACACTTACCTAAAAAAGATCTTTTGTTCTATGTTGAAATGCCCTTCTCAAAGTGTTAAAAAGAAATATTAATTGATGTTTACAACAGATGACCCTGACCATTCATTACATCATTCACAACGCCTGCTTAAAAGGATGGGTGAGGATGTCTTTTGCCTGTGTTTCTTGGCAATAATAATAAACATTTGGTGGGATTTCTTTTCAGAACATGCTGAAATGTCTATATCAAACATATTAGCATTTAACTACCACTTCCTAGGTTTATCATATTAGATAAGTGACTGATTTTCAAGGCTGTTTCCTCCTTTGTAGCGGGTGTTTATATCTGCCTCCTAGGGTTGCTGTCAGGATTAAATGTGAAATGTCAGTAAAGTGCTCAGCAGAGTGCCAGCCTCAGAGTAAGCACCAAAACAAACAAAAAAGAGCCACTAGAGTTGCCATTATTACCTGACAGTATTTAATAGCCTTTTTAATAAAAGGGACTACCTGGTTAGAAAGTGTAATGCAAAGAAAAATTAAATTTACAATTCACTATGGAAAGTTATTAATAAATTAATTAAGCATCTTATAATGCATAGGACCAATGGGAAGAAAACTAATAAAATGTAGCTGATGACAAAGAAGGTGATGTAGTGAAAGGAAGGTATGTCCTGTTCCTGTAGTGGATAACCATGTTGTAAAAATACCAGTTTTCTTCACAATATAATCAGGCACCACATGGCATTTCAGTCAGTGACAGACTCTGTACAACACTGGTCCCAAAGATTATAATACCTTATTTTTTTACTGGACCTTTTCTATGTTCAAATGTGTCTGGGTACACAAATACTTACCATTGTATTATAATTGCCTGCAGTATTCAGTACAGTCACATGCTGTACAGGTTTGTAGCCTAGTAGCAACAGGCTATACCACCTGTCCTAGGCATGTAGTAGGCTATACCATCTAAGTTTGTGTAGGCACACTGTGATGTTTGAACAGTGATGAAATCACCTAAGGACTCATTTCTTAGAATGTATCTCTGTTGTTAAGTGACACATGACTGTAATCTATAATTTTATTGTAACTTCAGTTAAAGTACTGTGTTTTTTTTTTTGTAGTTTTAAAAATGTAAAAAGAGATGGGGATCTCACTTTGTTGGCCAGGTCGGTCTTGAACTACTGGCCTCAAGTGATCTTCCTACCTCGGCCTCCCGAAGTGCTGGGATTACAGGCATGAGCCACCATGTCTGACCCAGAGTACTGACTTTAGAACTTCATAATGACTCTTTAACTTTTCCTTGGGATAGAAGTTAGGATAATGAAGATAAATAGTAATGCAAGGATACTTCCTCTGGAAGTATTAAATGTTCTGGAAATATATAATAATTAAAAAAGTTTGATACAGGTTAAATAGATCAATGAAACAACTATAGAACAGTATTCAAGAATATATATTACACCTAATAAATAATATATAAAGTTACATGTGATAAAGAATATATTTTTTTTCAAATCAGAGGAGAAATTGGCAGTTGGTGAGCCATTTGGAGGAAAAATTGAGATTAGATTTCTGCCTTACACCTTGGAGAGAGAGAATTTAAAAATTGTATTAAAAGTAACTGATGAAAATATAAAATCTTTTTTTAACCTTGGGATAGGAAATGACTTCCAAGCATACTAAGGCAAGGAGCATAAAAAGATCTCTAGATTTAACTTTATAAAAGTTGTATGTAGCCACAAACAAACAAACAGATTTCAAAGCAAGAAACTGGAAACGGTTACAATGCATATGACAGAGGGAGGACAGATATCTTAATGAAAACTGTTTCAACAAAGACTCTAATCATAATTTTAAAAATATTTGCATAGCCTATGACCAGAATGTTCACAAAAGAAGTAAGCATGAAATGTATTCATTTCAGTATTGATAAAATATTTCAAATTAAATTATATGAAAATACTTTTTCATCAGAATGGCAAAGATGAAAAATAACCGTGGTGACGGGATGTGTGGAAATGGGAACTCTTACGTGGTTTTGATGGTAGTCTAAACGAGTACTACCAAACTAGAGAGAAGCCTTAAAAAGTATACATCTGGGAAAGAATCTGACAAGTGTGCAAAGAACACAAATGTGTTCATGATAGCATTGTTTATGGTGGAAGAAAAGTAAATGTTAACCTAAATGACTATTATTAGATTTGTTAAATTATGGTATATACTTAGAATAATAATACACCTATTAAAAATGCTCCAAATATAGAATTATTGAAATAGCTGTTCCTGATTTACTACTGAATGAGAAGGTCAGGCTATAACATTAAAACATTTGTGAAATATAGTGATTACCTCTGAGTGGTGTTATGTGTGGTTTTTGTTTTATTTTTGTTTATGTTTGTGCTTTATTTTTTTCTACAGTGAATGTACATTGACAGTAATTTTTCTGGTAACAAAACTAATGAGGCATATTATAATGTTTAGAAGTTGTATAAATAATATATATACTCTTTCTAATCCTCCCCAAGTATACATACCTACACACACATATATACATACAGACTTTGCCTGTTATAAAATTACAAGTTAGTGGTAGAGTTAATGAGAATACTTGTTACTTTGATCTGGATGTAACCTTTCATGGATAGTAGTAACTTTATTAGTGGAGCTGTGAAGGCTACCAGCTGGGCTTACAAAGCAGTTTTTCTACTTAGCTGGATTCTCAAGGTCTCTGTGTTCTACCTAAATTTCTTGGGCTTAAATTAAAATCCACCCTATAGGTTTTGTTGTTATCATTGTTGTTTTGAGATAGGGTTTTGTTCTGTTGCCCAGGCTGGAGTGTGTGGTACGATCAGATCTCACTACAGCCTCAGCCTTTCAGGCTCATGTGATCCTCCCACCTCAGCCTCCTGAGTAGCTGGGACTACAGGTGTGCACCAACATGCCTGGCTAATTTTTGTATTTCTTGTAGAGACAGAATTTCACCATGTTACCCAGGCTGATCTGGAACCCCTGGGCTTAAGTGATCCTCCCGCCTCGGCCTTCCAAAGTGCTGGGATTACAGACGTGAGCCACCATGCCCAGCTGATCCTATAGGTTTTTCCCTCCAAGTACATCCATCGGATGGGTCTTTGCAGGTTTCAAGCCCCAGGAAGTCAAGGAGATGGAGTTGTTTTTTCATCCTTCTTTATTGACTGAGTTAATATTAATATTTGTGAGGACCAAAATTAGGCAAAGTGTTGGTTCGCCAAGTAGTAATGCCCAACACTGGGGTTCCAGAGACATAGTTAGGGATGACATAACTGGTTCATTCTTGGATTATAATTATAGTCCTCATGCTAAATTTATGGCCATATTGAGACCCTGTTTTGTGAAATTTTAAAGTCTTTTTTTCCTGGCAAAGACAGATGTGGAGGATTCAAAACTGGTATTCTCATTTCTGAAATTGTCCATACATGGACATTTCCAAACATTTCGCAAATATGTTTTTCTTTTAGGAGTTATGGTTTATCGGTTGTTCCTGAACCTGCTGGATGCACACCAGAATTACCTGGGGAGATTATTAAAAATACAGATTCTTGGGCCCCACCCCTGGAGATTGTGAATCAGTAAGTAGATCTGGGGTGGCGCCTGGGAATTTGTATTTTTAAACAAGTAAACTTCAGGTGATTCTGATGCCACCAGACTGGTATTTGGGAATCACTGGTTTAACAAAAGTACACATGGTGATTTGGCATGGTATTCGTATTTTAGGTGAAAAATGCACCAAGTAGGTGAAATAGAATAGTTTTTATAATGGCAGAGTATTTTTAATAATTAATCTCCTTTGCCCTCTTTTGAAGTCGCTCCCCAAGTAGGGAGAAGAAGAGAGCTCGTTGGGAGGAAGAAAAAGACCGATGGAGTGACAACCAGAGCTCTGGCAAAGACAAGAACTATACCTCAATCAAGGAAAAAGAGCCTGAGGAGACCACGCCTGACAAGAATGAGGAGGAGGAAGAAGAACTTCTTAAGCCTGTGTGGATTCGATGCACTCATTCAGAAAACTACTACTCTAGTGACCCCATGGATCAGGTGGTAGGTCCGAAGTAGCAGACAAGCTGTAGACCAGGGTTTCTGTGTGTTGTCACTATTGGCATTTGGGGCTGGATAATTCTTGATTGTGGGGACTGCCCTATGTATTGCAGGATGTTTAGCAGCATCTCTGGGCTCTGCCTATTAGATGCCAGTAGTACCCCTCCCCAGTTGTCTTCAAATATTGCTAAATGTCCCTTGGGGGGAAAGATCACCCCCAGTTGAGAATCACTATTACAGACAAAAGCTGTTTTAAAAAGCGAAAGGCCAAGAGTGCAGTAGGTTAATTAAAGTATCTTTTTACAATGATTTTTTTTTTATTTGAGACGGTCTCGCTCTGCCACCCAGGCTGGAGTGCAGTGGCACGATCGTGGTTCACTGCAGCCTTGATCTTCCAGGCTCAAGTGATTCTCCCACTTCAGCCCTCTGAGTAGGTGGAACTACTGGGACACGAGCCACCGTGACTGGCTTATTTATTTATTTATTTATTTTTTAGTAGAGATGAGGTCATACTGTTGCCCACTCTGGTCTCGAACTCCTGAGCTCAAGCAATCCTCTGGCCTTGGCCTCCCAAAGTGCTGGGATTACAGGTGTGAGTCACTGTGCCCAGCCTATTCTACATTTTTAATGATACTGGTAGTCTTGATACTGGTGGTTTCATAAGGTTTCATGTGTAACTAGTTTATGCAGTTTGTGGTGTGTATGTGTATATGTATGTGTTTTTTTCCTCCAAAATGAGAAATAAGGAAGAATTTGAGTTTGTCTCTTCGAAGTGTATCCTTGACCAAAAGAGCACCAACCCTATGAAGTTGCCCATGCATATCAGCTAGTTTTGCAGAAAGGGAGAGCCATTGTCACCCTTAATGGGCTGGAGGGAGGACTCCTAGAGCATATGCTGCCAGGGCTGGGGTGCCTGTGGTGATACATTGCCATCGCAGACTCCACCACTATCTCTACATGCTCACTTCTCTTTTCTTTCTTCCATCTCCATTTTATTTTCTGTCCCTGTCTCCTTTTTGCTGTCTCTTCCCCTCTTCCTCTCTTCCCCTTAGGCATTATGCCTCCATCCTGTTAGGCATATTTGCCACAGAGTAGGCATGCAGTAATGTTCATTGATTAAATGAATGAGTGGACATCTCTTTCATTTAATCAATGAACTCATGTACAGATTTAGGGCATGAGAAGTTGCAGATGTTAGATTTAGTGCATGGGATTAGGTAAGAGATAAGAGAGGGTTTTGTTTGGAATTTTGTGAAAATAGCTTCTGTTTGGACTCGATCTGTGGGGAACTTGAGATTTCTGTGTTTTTGGAAACAAAGGATTTGAGAAGTCTCTCATAGTGGTGTGATATTTTATTTGATAAATTAGAGCAGGCTTTTAAGTCATAGTTGATGTGGTACAGGGAAGGGAAAGCTCACATACTGTGCGCTTTCATGGTGCCAGAACGTTAGTCCATGCTTCTCATGTTGTAATACCCCTGGCAAGAGGGTCTTTCTGTCAGTTAGAAATGCTGCTGGGAGTAATAACACCTGACTAAGTGGGACTTAAACAAGCTGGATTTGTTCTTCTCATGATAAGGTACCTGGAGGGAGGCCATGGCTGGTGTTCACTGAGTGGCTTAGTGATGGCAGGCCCTGCTGTCTTCCTGAGCATCTTCCACAGTTGCAGGATGATGCAGGACCAGCAGGCCTCAGGTCCTTATACACCTGTGTCCCCACATGCAGGATGCAGAGGGCATGTTGGGTGAGCATTCTTCCAGTGTCTTGCCCAAGCTCTCCTTTCATCCCTTGACTCCCCTTCCATCCCTTTACCAGAGCCATGTGACATGCCTACCCCAGGGATTTGTTTTTCCTTACTGCCATGACAGAATTTCACAAACAGCATGGCTTGAAACCACACACATTTGTCCTCTCACAGCTCGGGAGGCCAGAAGTCCAGCTTGGGTCTCACTGGCTCCATCAGGATGTCAGCAGGTCTGTGTTCCTTTATGGAGGCTCTGGAGAAAATCTGTTTTCTTGCTCATTCAGGTTGCTGGCAGAGTTCAGTTCCTTGTGTCTGGAGGACAGAGGACCTTGTATCCTTGCTGGCTGTAAGGTCAGGGCACTTCTTCGTTCCTCCAGGCCATGTGCATTCCTTGACTTGTGGATCCCTTCCTCTGTCTTCAAAGCCAGTAATGGTGGTTGAGTCCTTCTCATGGTTTAAATATCTCTTGCCTCTTTTTCTGTTACATCTCTGACCCCTGTTGGCAAAGGTTCCCTGCTTTTAAGGGCTCCTGTGCTAAGATTGGGTCCACCCAGCTGCAAGTCCGTTTTGCCATGTAAGTTAACATATATATTTAATTTCTGGGGATTAGGACATGGGCATCTTTGGGAGGGGTGGGTGGCTCAGTCTACCTTCCCAGAGATCAGGAGTTCTCTGCCCCAAATCTGATAGAATACTGCTTCTATTAGGAAGAAGGAAAGAATGGCTGCCATAGGTGTTATTATTCTTAAAACAATAAAGATGAAGACACTGAAGTTCAGGGAGTTTAAACAGGCAGAGCTGGTTGTTTTTTTATTACATATTTATACGAGTATATTAAAACTCCAGTGTAGGAGGAAGACTGATAAACTCAAAAGGCTGACATTTGCCTTTGAGTTTTGTCGTCTGTGGTGCAGAGAAGGTGGTGAGGGATGTCAGCTATACCGGCATTGCCACTCTCAACAATGAGATGCGGCCTGAATTATCCCTTCTTCTGGGTACCAGATTTTATGATTTGCCTTAATTTTACATTTGGCAGGTCTGGTTTTTACATTTTAAGGCTACTAAGTCAGAGTGTGGACATGTAAAATGATTTTCAGCCTGGAAAATGAGTGAGGAAAAGTGGAAAATTTCCTCTAGGAATGCTTCGTAGAGTCCCATGTTTGTTCTATGTGTTTGTGTGTGTGTGTGAAAGAGAATGTGTGCATGTTTATATCCTCATGTTTAAGGCATGAGTGTATGTGTGTGTGAGAGAGAGAGAGAGAGACAAAGAGGATATATATGATATTCCTTGTTCCTTGTTGGATTAGTATAGGAGAAGACAGATTATCAGTGATTTTTCAGTAGGAAGTGTACATTCCCTAGGAGGGTATTTGGTGTCAGTTGTTACGATTCTCTGAGGTCATGATTTTTAAAAAAAATGTCATGTTAAGAGGGCGTAGATGAACTGTTATAATGTTTCTTTTCTTTTTTTTTTTTTTTTGAGATGAGGTCTCATTGTGTCACCCAGGCTAGAGTATAGTGGCACAGTCATAGCTCACTGCTTCCTCCAACTCTTGGGCTCAAACAGTTCTCCTGCCTTAGCCTCCCAAGTAGCACAGGCACATACCACCTGGCTAATTTTTTTCTTTTCCATAGAGTTAGGGTCTTGCTATGTTGCTCAGGCTGGTCTTGAACTCCTTGCCTCGAGCAATCCTCCTGCCTCCGCCTCTCAAAGTGTGCTAGGATTACAGGCATGAGCAACCACACCTGGCCTGCTCTAATGTTTCTGAATGTTGGCAAGGCACATTTACCTGAGGACTGTGTCAGCGATAAGTGTGTGTTTGATTCAGAGAATGATTGCCAGTACTTGAGCATTTTGTTTTTAAATGTTTGTTAAATTGAGGGTTGAAGAATAGCATCTTGCTGTTAAAAATGCTTTGATTACCTGTGAGATCTTACATATCTTTGATATGATTGTTATTGATATAGTTCCTAATAGTGATCCTTTATTTTTAAAAGGGAGATTCTACAGTAGTTGGAACAAGTAGGCTTCGTGACTTATATGACAAATTTGAGGAGGAGTTGGGGAGCAGGCAAGAAAAGGCCAAAGCTGCTCGGCCTCCGTGGGAACCTCCGAAGACGAAGCTCGATGAAGATTTAGGTGAGTCAGAGTCATTAACTAGTCTGAGACCGTTGCTGTTATAGCTTCATTCCTGAATTTTGGGGAAATACCCTTGAGAGTCCCACATTGAGATTTCTTCTTTTTCATTTTATTTTTCTTAATTACAGTCAGTAAGATACATAGAAGTGGAACTTCCTTCTTTTTGATCATATTTTTCCTTAGTTACATTTGGCAGAATACAGCCGTGATCTCATTTGCAAGGCTTGCCAACAAGGGTGCCCCTTGGAGATTGTCCAGTCAGAAGAGTTCAGCATCTTTCCAAAAGAAGGAGCCTGTGCCCCCTGCCTCTCATGAGGACAGACGTCCTTCCTTGGCCCTCTCCTTTGCCAGGTGTGCCTGGTTTGATGAGGGAAACGACGACTATAGCCCAGCTCTGTTTGAAGGTTTCTCTCCACTCGTGTACACAGTTTGCATAGCTTTTTCATAAAGTGGTCTATTTTTTCATTTGTATATTCTGAGGTTCCAAGTAGGTGGTGAGATCTTTGAGGATGGAAATTACTTTTTACCACTTTGTATCCTTAGACCCTAACAGAATGCCGTGCACAGATGAGACATTCAGTGTGCATTTACCTGCATGTTCTCTCTGGCTCTCATCTGCCCACCTCCATGACATCCCACATGCTGAGAGGCAGTTATCCATACTGGGCAAAGGCACCTGAGTCGGGAGCTGGATGGCCTGGGTTTGAATCCCTGCTCTACCACCTACTTGATATGTGACCTTGGTCCAGAAGTTCGTCTCCATCTCAGATTTTTCCCATTTGTAAAATAGGGATGACAGTAGCATCTATCTCATGCAGTACATGTAAATACAACTCCATGTTGGATTTTATTATGCTACTACTACGTTAATCTCTTATAGGATTAATTTATTTTAAAAACTAATTATTTTTCTTTTTGTAGTGATGGAATCTCACTATGTAGGATTAACTTCTAGGTCTTTTTAAAAAAAAAATGGTGGTAAAATACACATAATATGAAATTTACCATCTTAACCATTTTTAAGCATACAGTTCAATAGGGTTCAACATGACATTGTTTGCAACCAGTTGCCAGAACTATTTTCCTTTCATAAAGCTGAAACTCTGTACCTGTTAAGGAATAACTCCCCAGACCCCAATTCCCTGTTCCCTTATTACTACTATGCTGCTTTCTTTCTCTATGAATTTGACTCTCAGGTATCTCATATATGTGGAATCATGTATATTTGTCTTTTTGTGACTGGCTTGTTTCAGTTACCGTAAGTCTGTGTCTGTTTTTATTCAGTCACTTTAAGGACTAACATCTCTTGCTGTTATTGAGGGAAAAAAATGTCAAGTCTTTGGTCTTGCATTCCCAGCCTTCACTGTGGCATTCTCAGCACTCCCAGCCCTAACCTTCCAGTGTTTTTCTGTGTGGCCCGCGCTCTAGCTAGTCCACTGTATTCTTAGCTCCATGCTTTTGCCTATGGTGCTCCCTCTTCATTCCTTTCTTCTTCTCTCCTCCTTATCATGCTTCTCCCATCCCGTTGCAGTGCTTGGGTCATATGTGCTCCTTCTTTGAAATTATCACCAGCCTTTCTGGATCCCAGTGAAACAGCCCTTTTGTGGATCAATACATAGCTCAAGTGTTAAACTACATACTACTACTATGGTTTTTCATTTTATCTGACATTGCTCATTGAGTCTTACTTTTTCTCTAAAGATGTTTATTTTCTTTGCTTCTCCAACTAGATTGTGACTTAGCATTGTCTTTTTTTTTTTTTTTTTTTTTTGTGGTATTGCTTAGTAGAGTATTTGGTGTGGAGTAGGCCCTTAAGTATTTTCTAGAAGAATAAAGAACTCTTCTTACCTTTAGAGGTTTAGGTCATTTGGAAGTCTCCACAAAAACCAGTTTGTCAGCCGGATGCGGTGGTTCATGCCTATACTCCCAGCACTTTGGGAGGCTGAGACGGGTGTTTCACCTGAGGTCAGGAGTTCGAGACCAGCCTGGCCAACATGGCAAAATCCTGTCTCTACTAAAAATACAAAAGTTAGCTGGGTCTGGTGGTGGGCACCTGTAATCCCAGCTACTCGGGAGGCTAAGGCAGGAGAATCACTTGAACTTGGGAGGTGGAGGTTGCAGTGAGCTGAGATCATGCACTGCACTCCAGTCTGGGTGACAGAGTGAGACACCCTGCACTCCCGCCTGGGTGACAGAGCAAGACTCTGTCTCCAAAAAAAAAAAAAAAAAAAAAAAAAAAGGAAAAGAAAAAACCCAGTTTGTTAATTCCATCAGTTTCTGTGTTTTTCTCCCAACCCCTGTTAGAGAGTTCCAGTGAATCCGAGTGTGAGTCTGATGAGGACAGCACCTGTTCTAGCAGCTCAGACTCTGAAGTTTTTGACGTTATTGCAGAAATCAAACGCAAAAAGGCCCACCCTGACCGGCTTCATGATGAACTTTGGTACAACGATCCAGGCCAGGTGTGTATTTTTATGCCCTTGCTGTGAAGGTTGCAAACCCAGACATAATGGTTATTGCTCTGGGCTCAGAAGATGCATGTTGCCTTGTATTGAAACTGAATTTTACTCTCAGGCTTGTGTCCTTCAGAGCTGTTTTTTTTCAGCTTCGGGTTCAGTTCCAAAGCATAAGCACCGGAGCAGCTGTCCCTTGAATCATTTTTGATGATGTTTGTAAATTCCGTGTTGGGGAGAGGAGTAATGGCCCTGCCTCATTAAACTTGGAGTAGATGGAAGAAGACACATGGTAGGATGAGAGAGAACTGGGAGGTCTTTTTAGAAGTAGTTCACCTGGAAGGTATCTTGCTGCATAATAGTAAATAAGTCCTATAAAATTTCATTTTTTTTAGTTGGTAACAGTCACAAGTTCTCTTCCTTGTTAAGCATGTTTGAGCTAATGACATAATAGGTGGACATAATTATTTTTATTTTTAATTACTGTCTTAATATGAAGTGTAATACATAATAAAATTAGCATTGTTAAAAAAGATTTGTGTCACACAGATATATAATACGTACAAAAATTGTATCTTTAATGCATGTAAAGTTAGGAAGCATAATAAAGCATATCTATAAAAAGATAATTTAAAATTTATATTTCATGAGTAAATTTATAACATTCTATATTAATTAAAATGCTTTTCTCCTGGTTCTTGTTAGACGACAGCTATCCATCTTTTTTTAATAGAATGTCTGGGAGAAATGTATTTTGTGTGTTCCTTTTACTCTCTTGGAATTGAGCAGAAATGTTTGCAAAACTGCTAATGCATTTTAAAACTTGGTTTTCTTTTTAAACAGCTTTGTTGAGTTATAATTTACATGTGATACAATTGTACTTCAAACTTATAATCCAGCATTTTTTAGTATATTCATGGGGCTGCACAACTATCACTACAATTGAATTTTAGGACATTTTTGTCCCCCCTAAAATAAACTTCCTCCATATATGGGTTTTTTTTTTTTTTGAGACCTGGTCTCACACTGTTGCTCTGGTTGGAGTGCACTGGCGCAATAACGGCTCACTGGAGCCTTGACTTCCCAGGCCAAAGCGATTCACCTGCTTCAGCCTCCCAAGTATCTAGGACTATAGGGGCGCCCCACTATGCCTGGCTGGTTTTTTTTTTTTTTTTTTTGAGATAGAGTTTCATTCTATTGCCTAGGTTGGAGTGCAATGGTGCGATCTTGGCTCACCGCAACCTCTGCCTCCCGGGTTCAAGTGATTCTCCTACCTCAGCCTCCCGAGTAGCTGGGATTACAGGCATGTGCCACCACGCCTGGCCAATTTTGTACTTTTAGTAGAGATGGGGTTTCTGCATGTTGGTCAGGCTGGTCTCGAACTCCTGACCTCAGGTGATCCACCTGGCTCAGCCTTCCAAAGTGCTGGGATTACAGGTGTGAGCCACTGTGCCTGGTCTGCCTGGCTAGTTTTAAAAAATTATTTGTAGAGATGAGGTCTCACTATGTTGCCCAGGCTGGTCTCAAACTCCTAGGCTCAAGCAGTCTTCCTGCCTCAGCCTCCCAAAGTGTTGGGAATTACAGGTGTGTGAGCTACTGCACCTGGCCCTCTAGTCTTTTTACTTGACTGTTGTTTTCCTGTTTCACAAGAAGCCTCTATACTGATTTCCGTGGATACCTGTTTCTATCAGAAATTCAACAGTGCTTTGTATACAGTCTCTGTAATGCTGTTTAGTGTTACTGGTTTTGTGTCCTCTGTATAGTTGAGCCTTGTGAAGGGCTGAATATGTAGGATCCCAGACCTTGATAAAAGGCAAGCATGTAGGATGTCTCCACTTCCCTGGAGATCAGTGAGCACTAAGTTAATTTTTTATATTTTTCATCACGGAAGTCATGACTGGCATTAAGAGTGTGTTATAACTTTTTTTTTTCTTTTTTTTTTTTTTGAGACAGAGTCTTCAAAAACCTCCTGCTCTGTTGCCCAGGCTGGAGTTGGAGTGTAGTGATGTGATCTCAGCTCACTGCAAGCTCCACCTCCCAGGTTCAAGTGATTCTCCTGCCTTAGTCTCCCCAGTGGCTGTGACTACAGGCTTGTGCCACCATGCCCAGCTAATTTTTGTATTTTTAGTAGAGACGAGGTTTCACCATGTTGGCTAGGCTGGTCTTGAACTCCTGACCTCAAGTGATCTGCCTGCCTTGGCCTCCCCAAGTGCTGGGATTACAGGCATGAGCTATTGCACCTGGCCTTAGGAGTGTGTTATAACTTTTTTTTTTTTTTTTGCGATAGAGTTTCATTCTTATTGCCTAGGCTGGAGTGCAGTGGCACATTCTCAGCTCACTGCAACCTCTGCATATCTAGTTCAAGCAATTCTCCCTGCCTCAGCCTCATGAGTAGCTGGGATTACAGGCGCCCGCCACCATGCCCAGTTAATTTTTGCGTTTTTTTAGTAGAGATGGGGTTTTGCCATGTTGGCCAGGCTGGTCTTGAACTCTTGACCTCAGGTGATCCGTCTACCTCAGCCTCCCAAAGTGCTGGGATTACAGGCGTGTGCCACTGCGCACAGCCGTGTTATGACTTTTGATGAAATCCTGTTACATCTCTTATTTGCCAGCTGTTACTTTAGATAGTATCTTAACAGAATCTTTCTTTTTGGTAGTAATATTATTCCTCTGCTGTACCACCTGGATCTTTAGATTTTCCAAGAGGCTAAAGCAAAGTTACAACTTTTTACTTTAACACTTTTTTTTCAAAAAGTCTTACTGACTTTTATATTTTAATTGGACATACTGAGTTATAAATCTCAATAACTTGAAGGAAATATATGTGTGTATATATGTATATATATTTTTTCTTTTAAGGCTAGTCAAGTGAAGAAGCAGTGGGAGTGGAGAAGGAATGAAGAAGTCTAACTGGCTGTGATCAATTATTTGTAAAAACCATTACACTCTGACCAGCCTATATTTTTAAATTATTACAGAGAAAGAGAAATGGAACTCCACTTCTTCATTTTCCCTATCTGAGCTCTGGTCTTGTTTTTCATTCAGTATTACCATCTATACCAGAGGAACTCATGAACCTGGCTTGTGAGGCCCTTCAGATTTTGATGTTAGTTCTGCTTCTTTTGGTCTTCTCCCCCACATAAATGGTCCATTTTATTTAGATGGGTCTCGTGGCCCAGAGCATGACGTGGACTTCCTGCCTTCTCTCCTTTTCTGATGGGTGCTGGTGCCTCTAGTGCAGCAGCCCTCTTGTTTTCTTGTCCATCCCATCTGTTTGACACCCCAGCATTACCTACTTTCGAGTGATTTTTTTTTTCTTTTAAATTATGAAGCATATCATATATATGTTGTTCTCCTGTCTAGAACAGATACTCCTTGAGCACATGGACCCGCTGTTCTTTATCATCCGCTTGCTTAGCACTCATCCGTTCCAGAAGTTTTGAAGAATTGCTTGCCTGTGGAGCCTTGTGGGCGGAGTTTGTGGCACTAAAACAAATTCAGGGAAAGAGATGTAATCTAACCTGATCAGTGTGGGAAGTTTTTCTGGCTTAGTAGCATTTTCTTCTCTCTGCTAGTGAGGTGCCTTACAGTTTCTCTTTTCAAAACATCGAATCCGCAGGTCACCTTCAAAACACTCTATGTGTTCCTCCAGGATATAAAATTTGCTTTTGTGAAAGAGTCATTTTTCTTGAGATAAGAAATAGGGAAACAAAAATGTCCTGGGAATTGGTAGAAGAAGATGGGGGCAAACAGTGTGCTGACATTGATATTTTCTGCTTGGCTGCACAAATAACTCGGGAATGCAGGGTTGTCATACAGTTTCCCTTTATCAGACAATATAGAGAGTTTGCAGCTTTATTGGTTTTGGAACATCCGTTTAATCTTCTAACCGTGACAGCCTCTCAGAGCTTCAGTGCTCATGACATTAAAACCCACACATTTTCAGAGGCATCATTGTGCATGGTGTGGATTTTTCCCTCCAATAAAAACGAATTACATTGTGTTTCTGACAGATGAATGATGGACCACTCTGCAAATGCAGCGCAAAGGCAAGACGCACAGGAATTAGGCACAGCATTTATCCTGGAGAAGAGGTAACTGGTTTGGGTTATTATGTTTGTAAATGCCGAGAAGCCAGAAGTAGACAGATGTTGTTGCTGTTCTTTCCCCCATAAATGAAATAATACTATCAAAATTCTCTTCATATTCCCTGATAGTCTCTGTTACTGATAATTGCGGAGGAAAGCACTTGGGTTTTGGGGGTGGAGTGGGGAGTGTTCTCGAGGAAACATTAACAAAAGTTTTAGTAGTTTTATTATTTAAAATAGGCATGGTGTATTTGATATGTGTTTCCCATTTTAAGTATTTTTCAACTGTACATATTATAGTTTTATGTTTCATCATAAGTGGCTATGAATGGCCCTGGAGAGACGCTCTTACTAAAGTGCTCTGAGGCGCATGTCTTCTCTCTGTTAGTCTGTCCCTTTCAATTATTGTCCCTCATTTGTTCCCTTTATCTTTTATTTTTATAAGCTATTTTTGTTAATCCCAGGCTCCTCACTTTATAATTCAGTGCATTATATTTAAACACAGTATACATAAAACCTTAATTTCTATTTAAAACTTGTTTGAGGGCTCAATAATAATGGGAATACAGACTAGGAGATGGTGCCTGATAATTTGAAATACTTGCATCACTTCTGCTCATTTGTCTTTGAAAGTAGGCAAGTGTAGCGAGGAATTGTGGGACAGGGTGGCATCTTGTGAGCGTTTGTGCACATGCCTCAGGTTGGGAGCTCTGAGATGTTGATGAGAGATCAACACCTGTGACAGGAAAAGAGCAGAGGTGGGAACTATTCCCCTGTGATGTGGGTCTGATCAGGCCTGGCTTATCAGAATTTTTGTGTGTTGTGCTGGAATGGCCGTCATACCCCCATCTGTCTCAGTCCCCACAGCAAGGTGCCCCAGGAAGGGCACGACCCTGGGAGAGGGGGCTCTGCAGCTGAGGCTGACCCTGAAGGAGCCAATAGCTATAGGCTGTGTGCTGACTACACAGTGCACATTTGGACAGCAGGCTCTTCCTTGAAGGGAGACTAGATGGGCAGTGGTGCCAGCTAGGGACCCGTAGGCAGGAAAGGCAGGTGACAGTTTGGTTTCCTGGAAGAATGGTCTCATTCTGGGGACTCAGCGTGGGTCATTGTATCTGGCTAGTTGGATGTTTGGCGGTGGAAGTTAGCTTAATTATACAGCTTAGCCTTGATAAGCGGGGTCCATGCTGTTGGGCTCATGGGAAGCCTCCTCTCTGCTGCTGTGGTAATTTCATTCATGTGCCCCTCCTGTCGCTCTGGGGTGGCTGAGGTCAGGGGGTGGCTGGCACCAACTGCCTCAGTCATTTTGTCTGCTTGGTACCTTGGTACCTCTTCCATGGTGGTGCTGTCTGACAGACCTCCATGTGTGAGATAGAGCTCGTCATGCTCCCTTCCATTTGTCCACCTGCAAGTCTCTGCCCCAAGACCTTCTCATCCGTCCTCTTTTCTTCTAGGCCCCTGACCAGCTGGCATGGCCACCACTTGCTTCTGCCCATGAGTCCCTCTCTATTCTAACTTCAGGCCACTTCTCTTTCCACACAAAGTGGATGACCAGGTACACTGCCTGAAACTCCGCCCACTGGGAGAGATTTCCCCACAGCGCTGTCTTTCAGAACCATTCCAGAATGAGGCTGTAGTGCCATCTGTTTTTGGCTCACCCACTCTTGCCAACTGACCCATTTGTAAACCAAGCTTGGGCTTTTTCCTCTGCTTTCATCCATACACCCTAGGTCATCAGCTGAGGGAGGGGAGCTGGTGCAACAGTGGTGGAGCTGTGGGGATCCGGGCCACCTGCCCAGGCAGCTTGTTTGTGCTCTTGGCTCCTGGGTATGCTTGACTCTGGCAGTACCATGCCTGCCTTTTGATGGATTGTTGCTGATGCCGTATTGCCTGGTGGGACTGACAGAATTTAGCCTATGATGGGTGATTCTGGCCACATGTGTATCTGGTATCTCTTGGCCAGGCCTTACATCTCTATCAGGGCCAAGTAGCACATCTGGAATATTCTTTCAAAGGCACATACGTCTTCACTATAGATAGCAGGTCTTGCTCCAGAACGTCAGGGACCAGCATTGTGATTCTCCCAATGTGGCCTGCCACAGATTCCTTTTGGCATCTTTTCCCACCAACACTGTAGGATCTGCTGAAACATATGGCCCCAGCAGCAGCGCTGCTTATACTCTAGTCTGAAACAGCTGAGGCCCTTTCTCACATGGGCTGTCCTCAGCAGGGGCAGCTGTTTGTGCCGTTTGTGCCACTCTGTAAGTGGATTGGAGCAGTGTTTCTACATGTGCATTCTTTTGCCTCCTGAGCCTGAAAAGGCGCACTAGGTGTTGTGCTTTCTTCATTGTAGGAGGTGGAAGATAAAATAATTGTCTTTTACTTTGGAGGGGATGTCTTGGCATTCCCCAGACCACTGGACTCCTAAAAATTGTGTGGCTGCGACAGGCCCCTAAATCTTTGTAGGGCTGATCTCACATCCACTGCGGTGCATGCGTGCATGCCTGATCATCATCATGTCAGAGGTGTAATGGAGCAGTGTGAGGTTCTGCAGTGTGCCTGGACGGTTGGAAACTCCTTGGTATTATGAGTGGGTAGGAGCATTAACACAGCCCTGGGGCAAAACTATAAATGTCTGTGAACCATTCTGATCCTTATTTCTGATTGGGATAGAAAATAACCCATTCACGTAATCAGTTGCCACATACTTTATATCTGCTCCAGCTAAACTACAACACCTGGCCTGGCAGCTACACTCAGAGCTCCTGCTTGGTTGAGTTTGTGGTAGTTTGCAGTTATCCTTCAGGACCTTCAGGGGCCAGACAGGTGAATTAATCAGAGATAGGACCGGTACCATCTCCCTTATATCCTTCAGATCCTTAAGAGTGGCACTAATCTCCTCTATCCCTCCAGTGCAATATTGGTTTTGATGCCTGGGTTGATGGGGGTTGTGGTAATTTCATTTCTGCTTGACTTTTGCATTAGGATAGCTCTTATTCCATATGTCAAGGACCCAGTGTTGAGTAGCACATTGGATCTGCCAAGAATGTCAATTCTAGTGGTACATTCAAGGACCAGGGTAAGGACCACTGGGTAGATCTGTGATTCAGTAGACCCACTGTAAGTCAGACCTTGACCAAGATCCATTTATTACCTTGGCCTCATATTCTCTACTTAACTGGGGAACCATAGTGATGTATCCAGTCTCCAAGTATCAATGATGATTCGGATACTGCATCTAACATGGCTTGAACTGTCTGCTATTCTTCTTTTCCCAGTGTACAGCTCCCCAGGTAAATGGCCATAAGCCCCTTTGGTGAATGACAGGGTTGTCAAGGCCGTTTTTGCTTGTTATTTTGTTACAGAGTCCTTCCTCCTGGGATCTGACCACCTCTTTAGTCAGTGGATTTCAGTCCAAAAAATGTGATCAGGTCTGGAACTGGGCAAGGAATAGTGTGACTGTTTATTGGAATGTCCTGCCTTCAGTCTCTTGGTTATCCATTCCTGGTTTCTTATGTTTGTACAAACTAAGTAGTACTCGTGTTGGTTACCCACTTGTTTTGTACCCAAGGACACCATGTTCTATTAACTATTTCCGTGACCTTTGTGGGTCAGACCCCCTTGGCTGCCACTGTGGCCTGGCTTCCAGTACTTAGTCCTATCACCTGGCATCTCTTGTTTCAGGATTCTGTCATCCCTGTTACTGCTGGCGAGCTCTGCTCTCTGACCACTTTTGTGGTCAGCCCTGGCCTGCAGAGGAGGTCGCCACTGATCTTCCTCATGATGTTTGTGCTCCTATCACCTGCACATTCGTTTTAGTGTGTCCTCTGGGGCTTCCCATGCAACACGATTGTTTGGCATATTTTCCAGCCATAGATACTGTATGCATTCTAACTTCCTTGAGTCCTTGAATTCCTTCCTCCACTGTCTACCAAGGCAATTCTGGTATTTCAGCTTTGCTCAGTGTGGGTTGTTGCTTCTTCATGCTTTTAGGAGCCATGCTAGTAGGGAGTTCTCAACATACCCTGGTGGTGTTGTATCCTGAGTACTCCCAAGTCAATATACTCTTCTCTAAACAATTTTATGTTCTGGCCCTGTTGATCAAGCGCTCTCATCATCACGTCCTCTGCAGACTTCTCTGGCTGTTGCTACATGCTAGTTAGTTCCTGCAATTCTTTTGAAATATAATCTGTTGCCTTCCAGCACTTCCCCATTTGGGGCCCTGAAATGACCCCAATTATAGGTATTGGCCTGGAGGGGAGACTGGTTGAGGGGTGTGTGAGGGGACATAGTGTTGCCTTGCAGGTTCTTCCATTGTCTTCTGGCACAATTGAGCAGTTGCTCTTAATTGGGAGGGATGTGCTATCTCTGCAGTCAGACGGTTTAGAGGAATCTGGGGAGTCAAAACCTAAATGTCCCCATTTCTGGTTTCCTGGGCCCTGACCGTGGCTAATTGCCTTTGAGGTTCAGCCACTCTCACAGGTAAGCCTTAGGCTTGGTCATTGCTGTGACCTCCCACTGTAGGTAGTGAGAGTTTCTTCTGGCTTTCACATCTGGTTTCCAATAGTCTTTTCTCCTCCTCTGCTGTTATACTTCTATAGTGCAGTGGTTCTCTAAGTGAAGGCTTCCAACTGAGACTCACACAAGCTTCACCTGGGAACTTGTTAGAAAGGCAGATTCTCAGCCCATCCCAGCCACTGAATCAGAAACTGGGAGTGGGGAACAAGCACTCTGAGATTTAACCAGCCCTCCAGGTGATTTCTGGGCAGACTAAGGTTTGGGGACTACGGTAGAGCATCAGTGGTGCTTAGCGACAGCCATCCATCCCTGAAGGATCATAACCATTGTTCTTATAGCTACCATTTTTAAACACCTGGGTGTTTGGCCTGCTTCCAGTGTACAGCTTCTAATTCACCATCTTTAAAGTTTAGTTGCTTGCCATCTGGTGCCAGGGGTTGTCTGTGTTCCGCTTACCACCAGTGATGGCATCTTCATTGCTTGTTGGGAGGTGATTGAGCTCCGAAACACCATCTTATTTGCTGTTTTCTTGGGTCACTCCTAGTACCAACAGCCGCATCTTGGGTTCTCTAGAAGCAGATGCTAAGATGGAGTTTTGGGTGCATTATGGTTATTAGGCATCAACGAAAGGAAGCAGGATTGGACAGAAGGATTGGCTGAACTGAAAGCTGCATTCAGCCTGGGGGTGATCTGTGGAATGCATATTGCCCGTTTGAGTTGGGCTGAAATAGCTGGGCATTTATACCTCTGCCTTGCTCAGTACCTGATGTTGGGCCGTGCCTGAGGTCAGAGGAGGGAGATCTGCAGTGGAGAGAGATCCTGAAGAAGCTTATAGCTGGAAGCTCCCTGCTATCTGTGCCCTCCACAGCCAGGCAGCAAGTCTTTCCTTGAACATGGGTCTGTGCGGCACATCCCCATGTCTATCACAGGTACACCCAATCATGCCATCACAACTGATGCTGTCACAGCACACTTCTTTTGCTGGCTTTGTTTGCCTTTTCCCGTGTTTTTTTTTTTATTTTTATTTTTTATTTTTTATTTTTTTGATATGGAGTTTTGTTCTTGTTGCCTAGGCAGGAGTGAAATGGCTTGATCTCAGTTCACGGCAACCTCCACCTCCCAGGTTCAAGTGATTCTCCTGCCTCAGCCTCCCAAGTAGCTGGGATTGCAGGCATGCGTCACCACGCCTGGCTAATTTTGTATTTTCAGTAGATACAGGGTTTCTCCATGTTGGTCAGGCTGGTCTTGAACTCCTGACCTCAGGCAATCTGCCCACCTTGGCCTCCCAAAGTGCTGGGATTACAGGCATGAGCCACCGTGTCTGGCCAGCTTTTTCCCGTCTTAAGATCCATGCATATTCTCTTCCACCACCTCTCATGCTTTCTTCATTTCTGACCTTTTTGATTTTTACCCAGCATATTTATTCCTTCCAGTTTTTAAAATTTCCTATTAACTCTCACTGCTGTTAGTTCTCAGATTAATTTCACCACTTTTTTTTTTTCAGTTTATTCATAAGTGTAACCAAAGGTCAGTTATTGTGTTATTTTACAAGTAAAAGGAAGATGGTCATAGGATTGTAGATCTAGAAAGATCCTTAAATCTTGTGGTCTGAACCCGCTCTGGAGTATACTGTAAGTGGCATATTGTGGCTATAAGATTAAGGGTAGCCATAACTTCATTCAGGTGTCTCACAGGGCTGATACTCCATGTCAGCAGTGTTGTCCGTGTCAGCCTGTGTCAGCAGTCTACAACCTAGCCTGGAGATTTCCAGGAGACAAGGCCACCTCGGCACAGATGCAGCTTTCATAAGTCTTAAAACAAAGTTTCCCCTTATAAGAATAGTTTAAACTCCTTTCAGAAAAGAGACATCTGGTAACTGATCTGGACTGAATACAGGTATAAGTAAAGGAGAAGGATCCTGCAAACTTGAGGCTGGTCTCCGGATGAAGACCCTCCTGGTGACTTGGTCATCTGACTCCCTGGCTGTATCTGGCCTGCATCTGCTGTCCGTCTTGTAAGAGAATAAGCAGAACAAACTGCTTGAGCATCGGTTGGTGACTAAGACTTATCTTTGAGGAGAATCAGATGGAAAGGGAGAAGTCCCTCCTGAAAGAGCTGGTTAATTAGGTCCATTGGAAACACCCCACCCACCAACACAACAGTTGGGGATGGTGATGGGATTTGCCTAAGCAGGTGAGTAGTGGCACTCATTTCTCTGAGAGAATCATGAGAGTTAGCTCTGATCCAGCTATCGGGTGAGCCCTATGGACTATTCCACAGCAGGTCTGGCAGTTTTTGTTCTGCTTTCTGGCCAATTGCTACCTACTGTGTGTACTTTCCACCTCTGTTATGGAAATTGCCACCAGGCAAAACCTGCCAAAATTATTCTTAAGATCCTTCCAGGCCCCTAGTAAGGGGGGACAGGCTCCCAAGTGGAAGAGGACGGTCTGGATGCCAGGGACACCCTTGGCTTCAAGAGCTGACTGCCAGCTGGTGTGTCTCCAGCCCTTGCTGTGCCAGAGGAGCATCTCAGCCTGAAGGATCCTGCGATTGTGACACCATAGGCCAGGAAGTCGTAGGTCAGGTTTATCTGCAGAAAGCCTCTCTGTTGTTGTCTGCCAGTGGGGGAATTAGAAGATGATCCCCTGCAAGTCTGTACAATCACTGAAGGGCACATTATCCCCTCTGCACTCCTGATGGGACTGCGCAGCTTCTCCAGGGATGTGCTCCATCCTCAGATGCCTGCTGCGTGCCGCATACTCCAGTCACACAGGCTCAGCTCAAGAGTCGCATCACTTGGCCTGGCTGATCCATAGGCCTTCAAGCTGTGGAATGATGATCCTGAGTTTGCGGGATAACCATTGGTTGCACTACAGGCATTACCAGTCACCACTTGGGTCATGGTTAGGACAGTGGCTGTCACCTCCACAACCTACTCAGATGAGGAAGCACGCCCCAGACACCGTAGAAGTCTGCAAAGAGGTTTACCCTTTGTCAAGGACAGAAATTCAGAGCCTCCTTGAAGACCTGATGCAAGGACTCAGTGAAAAAGTTGTCACTGGCTGTACTGTGTGTATCACACGGGAAGTGGTCTGTAACTCACAGACTGAAAAATATGATGGTAGCTATCTCCAAAGATGGTAAGGTCTCTCATGACTTCAACACCCAGTCAAGTTTATCCAGGAAGCACAACTTGATGGGGCTGTGGGCATAGAGCAGACAGCCATAAGCTGTCCCTGTCCTCTGCTGCAGTGGCTGTTCATGACTTGGAGAATAGCACACCTCAGCAGGAACCTCCCCATCAAGGACTGAAAGTGGCTGGTGTAAAGTTCAGGAAGGAACATTTAAGCATGCTTCAGTGGGTTTATGCAGCTGCCACCTCCATGGGACCGGGGCACCACTGGGAGAGCCCTGTATAGGCCACCTTGCAGCCAAATGTTTATGATTTTCTTTTTGTTTTGAGACAAGGTCTTCCTCTGTCACCCAGGCTGGAGTGCAGTTGTGCAATCTTGGCTCACTGCAACTTCTGCCTCCTGGGCTCAAGTGATCTCCTGCCTCAACTTCCTGAGTAGCTGGGACCATAGGCATGCACCACCACACCAGGCTAATTTTTGTGAAGACAGGTTTTGCCATGTTGCCCAGGTTGGTCTTGAACTCCTGGGCTTAAGCAGACCTCCCACCTTGGCCTCCCAAAGTGCTATGATTACAGGCGTGAACCACTGTGCCTGGCCCTACTTTACAGTTGTTTTTAAGGGGAGCCCCATCACAGGCCAAACGAGCTCTCTTGGCTTCCGAAGTTAATCAAGCTCTATGGGCCCTTGCCATGCTGGAAAATGCCAAGGCACAACCACCCAGCCAAGTGTTCCCAGCTGCAGCTCACACCTCTCCCAGCCCCAACTTGGCACCCTCTAGCCAGAGGTCTGACAGCTGGCATCACTCTCCTTGGGCTTCCCAGGCCCATCACCCACAGGACGAGACGCAGTCCAGCGGTCTGCAGCAAGGTCAGAGCTACTTCTACTGGCAGCTGCAATAAAGGGGACTCCCAAATGGGCCCATCTCAGGCAAGCCTCATGAGTTCCTTCAGACCCTCCTTACAACTGACGTGGCCTACTCGCCACGTCAGATGGAAGAACACCAGGTCTTCATCAAGGACAGGCCCCCTATGTGTACTCGTGGTCCAGCGGGTGTCCCGTGGCACCCTCATGGATGATAACTGCTCATTTGCTAAGTTCACGGTATTTTGGAGGCCCCCAAACCCTCAGACATTTATGGCCTTAATTGGACATCCCTGCTTCACCAGCACCTGAGGAAGTCGCTGAGAGCTGGAGACTGGCCAGCCCTTTTTTACTGGTCTAGGTATGGCAAAGCCAGTACTGTTCTTTCCTACCGGTCTGTGAGGGAACAGACATAAAATCTCTTTTGTTAGATGTGAATCTAGGAAATACAAAATATTTTTAAGTAAAAATACTCTGTTGTTTTACTTGTAAACTGATTTTCGTTTTTTTCCCCTCAGGCTATCAAGCCCTGTCGTCCTATGACCAACAATGCTGGCAGACTTTTCCACTACCGGATCACAGTCTCCCCGCCTACAAACTTTTTAGTAAGTTTCTGAAGGATCACATGCATATTATTTAAAATGTAAATAGAGTAAAATGTGAATAGGCTAAAGTTATTGATTCCGTTCTTAAATGTTCTTACTTTGAAAAATATTTTTATGTTCAGAAATTGATCTTTATCACGATGATGTTTCTTTCAGCTTCCTCTTCACTATACTACTATATCTTTTTTTCATTAAATATTGTTGGCATCACTTAATAGCAAAATTCATAGTAGCCAACAATGTTGGAGCTATGGAGTGGGAAGAAAATATAGAACACTTCCACATCTCTTAAAAATTAGTGAACATGGCCGGGCGCGGTGGCTCACGCCTGTAATCCCAGCACTTTGGGAGGCCGAGACGGGCGGATCACGAGGTCAGGAGATCGAGACCATCCTGGCTAACACGGTGAAACCCCGTCTCTACTAAAAAATACAAAAAACTAGCCGGGCGAGGTGGCGGGCGCCTGTAGTCCCAGCTACTCGGGAGGCTGAGGCAGGAGAATGGCGTAAACCCGGGAGGCGGAGCTTGCAGTGAGCTGAGATCCGGCCACCGCACTCCAGCCTGGGTGACAGAGTGAGACTCCGTCTCAAAAAAAAAAAAAAAAAAAAAAAAAAAAAAAAATTAGTGAACAGCGGCCAGGCCTAGCGGCTCACGCCTGTAATCCCAGCACTTTGGGAGGCTGAGGTGGGCGGATCACAAGGTCAGGAGATCGAGACCATCCTGGCTAACACGGTGAAATCCCGTCTCTACTAAAAATATAAAAAATTAGCCAGGTGTGCTGGCGGGCGCCATGGTGAAACCCCGTCTCTACTAAAAATACAAAAAATTAGCCGGGCATGGTGGCGGGCACCTGTAGTCCCAGTTACTCGGGAGGCTGAGGCAGGAGAATGGTGTGAACCCAGGAAGCAGAACTTGCAGTGAGCCGAGATCGTGCCACTGCACTCCAGCCTGCACAACAACAACAACAAAAAATGTTTTGAAGAAATGCCAAACTGTTTCCAAAGTGGCTATACCATTTTTGCTCATTATTTTTTTCTTTTTTCAGAGGTGAGATCTCACTTTGTTGCCCAGGCTGAATTTGGACTCCAGCCTCATGTGATCCTCTTGCCTCAGCCTCCCAAGTATCTGGGATTACAGGCATGTGCCACTGTGCCTGGCTCTCTTTTATTTAATTTAGACCGTCTTTGTTAAGTTTTTCAAATATAAATTAACAATAATATTGGCAAAACAAATAATATATATTTCGATATTCTTTTGTTCCCCCTTATTCCAAGTTGTTCTTAATAGATAATGTTTAAAAGAATGAAATCTAGTATCTGTGTTAGAAATTTGTCTTATAGGCCATCAGTCTTAATAATTATTGCCATATTTAGCATTTAAGGTTAAAAATGGCTGGGCCTCATGGCTCATGCTTGTAATCCCAGCATTTTGGGAGGCCGAGGCAGGCAGATCACTTGAAGTCAGGAGTTCGAGACCAGCCTAGTAGAGATGGTGAAACCCCATTACTAAATACAAAAACTAGCCTGGCATAGTGGCACATGGCTGTAATCCCAGCTGCTCAGGAGGCTGAGGCACGATAATTGCTGGAACCTGGGAGGCGGAGTTTCTAGTGAGCCAAGATCATGCCCCTGCACTCCAGCCTAGGCAACAGAGTGAGACTTCATCTCAAACACACACACACACACACACACACACACACACAATGTTGGGTTATAAGAATGGCATAAGGAATAGAGTCCCTCTTGCTTAGATTGATGTATGTATTATTTAGTTACAAATCCAATTTTCTGGGAATTAAGGCCTTTGAACTTGTATGGGAATTGATTTTTTGCAGTGTTTGGTTGGTTGACTTCTTGGAGAGGCTGGGAGTAGAGCTATGAGGGGTTGACCTTCTGGCACCCAGAGGCCTTTCAGAGACTTCTAGGCTGTTGCTAGTCTCCACTCTATGATGCTGAGTGTTTTTCCACTTCGCATTTGAGTCAGCTGTATTATTTACCTTGCTCCTGTTAGGACTTCTGTTAGTTCAGAAACATAGTTCATTAAGAACAGAACTGGTAGTATTGTGAGATTAAATAAAACAAGTTCTTAGAAAATGAAGCTTAATATAGCCTTTTATTTATTTATGGCACCCATAATATTACATCATTAATTGTCTAAGTACGTAAATATTATACTTACTATCTGAAGCCAGAGAATTTCATGTAAAATTAAACTTTGTATAAAGTTCTCTCTGGTGTCTGAAAGGAAGTCCTTATGTTCTGTTGGTTACTTTGAGTCCTGATGGATTTCTGCACATGCAAACCGTGTCATTTATTTAATTTGGGGTTCATGTTTCTGTTTGCTTTTAGACTGACAGGCCAACTGTCATAGAATACGATGATCACGAGTATATCTTTGAAGGATTTTCTATGTTTGCACATGCCCCCCTGACCAATGTAAGTATGTGCTAGTTGGCTGCTTTTCTCTTTCCTTCTACCTCCTTCATCCCTTCTTTCCAAAAGTCAAAACATTTCCTGTCATCTGCCTCCTAAGAAACGTTTCCTCTGCGTCCCTCTGTAACGTGAATGAGCTGCAGGAAGTCTGCAGCAGTGCGTCAGGTGGCAGTGTGACGTCTGTGCTAATGAGTCACAGGTTCGGTCTGCATTAAATGCTGTAAGTAAACATGTGTCAGAGTAACATTTTGAGAGTGTGAAAGCTTGGAAAAGGAGGATAAACTGTGGAGTAATGTGTTAAAGCTATTTTGGGTTGGTTGTCCTTCAAAAGAAAGTTGGAAAGTTTTAAGGAGAAGCCATTGTTTAGTCTCTGAGCAAAAGAAACAGAGCTTATTCAGGACGTTTGGAGCCTGAATTCATGAAGTACATTTTCTGCTTTTGAATCCCAGGAGTGTGTCTTCAAGAGACTTTGACATATGGATTCATGATATTTTTATACAGGTATTAAGTCTGCTTTGTTGGTAATTGGTTCAAATGGAAGTTCCTGATCCGTGAGTCAGAATCTTTCCATCTCCATGCTGGCAGTCCCAGGAATTGTCTTTCTTACTGCAGTTGGATGTAGAGTGAATTGGCTGGCAGTGGCACAGGAAGAGATGTGTGGCAGTGTACTTGACCCAGTACAGATGCTGTTGTAGAACTTATTGAATTGTAGCTATTATATATCCACATCGAATGGAATGTTGTTTAACCTTTTCTGGTTTGGTTACATTAAATTACATCTGCAATTTGAAAAATTATTTTAGTACTGTTTACTTCACAGATGAAATTCAGTTCCATTGGAGAGTACAGTTAAGACTCAGATCTTTGCCTTACCTTAGCCTTTTTTGTCATTTTTTTCATATAAGTAGATATGATTCCATAGCAGTGATGCTAATTTAAGACAAATTGTTTTCCTAATGAGATTTTCTTAATTTCACAGTATTTTTTATCCTAGAGAATTTTCTTTGAGAAGATGATTACATTGTAAATGTAAAAATAAAATCATTTGATAATATATGTTACGTTTTTCTTCAGGGGGGACCATCTGTTGTTCACTAATGTAGAAAAGCAATAATATGGGCCGGGCACGGTGGCTCACGCCTGTAGTCCCAGCACTGTGGGAGGTCGAGGTAGGTGGATCACTTGAGGTCAGGAGTTCGAGACCAGGTTGGCCAACATGGTGAAACCCCATGTCTCTACTAAAAATCCAAAATTAGCTAGGGGTGGTGGTGTGCGTCTGTAAACCCAGCTACTCGAGAGTTTGAGGCATGAGAATCACTTGAACCTGGGAGGCAAAAGTTTCAGTGAGCCAAGATCGTGCTGCCGCACTCCAGCCTGCGCAGAAGAGTGAAACTGTGTCTCAAATAAATAAAGAAATATAGAAAAGCAATAATATTAGGCCATTGTTAAATAATCTTTATGGAAAGGTACTAAGAGGTTTCTGAATTTTCATGATTTCTTTGCTTTTTTTTCTTTTTTTAAGTGTCACAAACTTTCAAACTCTTTGTTTCACCAAATCTCGTAGCCTTAGAGTTGATTACCCTCCACCCCCAACCATCTACTGCCTGTCTCTTTTTCCCCACAAAGGGCTTATAAATACACAGAATTTAGTTAGCATGAAAATACTTAAAACTATTCTTCATCTTATTTCTTGATTCCCTAGAATTAATAGAGATCTTATTTTGACTTTTAGGATCACCTTAAACAAAGAAGGATAGCAGTGTGGCTTTAGAGAGACCAGGGTTTAAAATTAGTGATAGCTCTATGATTTGACATTTCAATCTGTGTAAGCTTTGGCTTTCTCATCTGTAAGATGAGGGTATTAGTTGGAGCAATCTCATTGGCTTTTGTGAAAAATAAATAAGATGGCACATGAAAAGTGTTTATCATGGTGTTTGGCACATAATAAGTATTGGCACTTCTCTCTTTGGAAAGGATTTCAGACAGAGTTGGGTTTGAATCTTCTAATCCTTTTTTTTTTTTTTTTTTTACCTTGGACAAGTGAATTCTTTGAACTTCATTAATGATAGCAATGCTTGGGGTTTTAGTGAGAATCAGACATAATTTTTAAAAAATACGGACTTTAATAAAAAACAAACAGTAGTGTTAGGTTTATAGCAAAAGTGAATAGAAAACATCATTTTTAAAAATGTTCCCCAGCACAAGGTTTGACTTGAGAGGCCACTGATGCTAAATTAGTCACAGTCATTACTGTCATTATAAAACAAAAGGACAGAAAAAATTTCTGGCTTCAGCATACATACATATATATATATATTTATATATATATATATTTCTTTTTTTTTTTTTTTTTTTTTTTTTTTGAGACGGAGTCTCACTCTGTCGCCCAGGCTGGAGTGCAGTGGCCGGATCTCAGCTCACTGCAAGCTCTGCCTCCGAGGTTCACGCCATTCTCCTGCCTCAGCCTCCCCAGTAGCTGGGACTACAGGCACCCGCCACCATGCCCGGCTAATTTTTTGTATTTTTTTTAGTAGAGATGGGGTTTCATCATGTTAGCCAGGATGGTCTCAATCTCCTGACCTCATGATCCGCCCGTCTCGGCCTCCCAAAGTGCTAAGATTACAGGCTTGAGCCACCACGCCTGGCCGTTCAGCATATGTTTTATGTAAATGTTCAAGTTCTCGATGAGAACTTTATTCTATGACAAACCCCATCATTTATATTAGAGATGTTGATAAAAATAAATTGAGTTTTAAGCTGAGTGTTGTACAGTTCATAGGAATTAGATCCATCAAAGGCCTCTTGAATTTGAAATAGCCTCCTAAGGAAAAAAATTGTTAAACTGCTTTACCAGTCTGATTCCTTTTCTTGCTAGAGAGAGAATGTCAGCAAGAATGTCATGCAAATGATGATAATGATAGAATCTCCACCAAATCTAGTTCTACAAGTTCTCTTAAGGTCTTGAAGTGGATTGAAAGCCTTGTTGGCTGAGTATAGAGCATTCTGGGAGAATTTTACCTTTTTATGTAGCACATTTGTTATAATACCTGATGTTAAGAGCTTTGACAACTTACCTGAAGTTTTAAAGATGTGTATTTGCCAGGTGCGGTGGCTTACACCTGTAATCCTGGCACTGTGGGAGGCTAAGGCAAGCAAATCGCTTGAAGCCAGGAGTTCAAAATGGCCTGAGTCCCAGCTACTGTGGAAGCTGATGTGGGAGGATCACTTAAGCCCAGGAGTTTGAAGCTGCAGTGAGCTGATTGCCTCACTGAACTCTAGCTTGGGTGACAGAGCTAGACCCCATCTCTTAAAAAAAAAAAAAGAAAAAGGGCCAGGTGCAGTGGCTCATGCCTGTAATCCCAGCACATTGGGAGGCTGAGGCAGGCAGATCACCTGAAGTCAGGAGTTTGAGACCAACCTGGCCAACATGGTGAAACCCCGTCTCTACCAAAAATACACAAATTAGCTGGGCGTTGTCGCAGGCATCTGTAATCCCAACTACTCAGGAGGCTGAGGCAGGAGAATCGCTTGAACCCAGGAGGCGGAATTTGCAGTGAGCTGAGATCCCGCCACTGCACTCCAGCCTAGGCGACAAGAACGAAACTCCGTCTCAAAAAAAGAAAAAAAATGTAAGATATATGTATGAGTTACATAGTATTTTGTCATATTCCCAAAAGCACAGGAAAACCCCTGGATCATTTCCCTCCCACTTTAGTTGGCTTCCCATTTGGAGTGGACTTACTGACGCCTGGATTTGGTCAATCAGTATGTGGAAATAGTAGAGTTAGAAGATGGAGGTTTGGAGAGTTTTTTAGTTTTTTGGGTTTTTTGCTAGGGTGAGATAGGAGTATAAGTCAGTATAGGATAGTCTTTACTTTTAAGTATTCAAACATGATAGTAGTCATTTATATTATTTGATGGCATTTGTTGGGAGGTATTTTGGTGATCTTTGAAATTACAGTTTTTTGGTTGACCATTGTGTAGCAAAATAACAAGCTCTCCTTGACACTTAGAGAGATCATAGTTTGAATAGATGAGGAGATCCTGCCTTTCCAAATTTGTGTGTCTGAGAATGGCTCTGGTGATATGGATGGAAGCCCAAAAGAAAATAAAGTATATACAAAGAGAAGAGGTCAGAGAAGGAATTCCAAGAAGTGATTTTACTTAAAATGAAATAAGAAAAGGACTGTACATGCATAAATCATCAAGCAGGGTGCTTTTTCCTATGATAGCAAGGAGATAAGTTTGCACATTTGCTTCTGCCTACCTCTTGAGAATTCCCAAGAGCTCCCGTTGTTTTCTCTCCTATGTACTCTCTGAGTAATTCAGTTCCACCCATGCATATTCTGATCCCCACCAGATCAATATTTATAGCTGTGACATGTACCTCTGTATTAATACTCCACTCTCACATTTTAGATTGCCTTTTGAAATGAACCTCCTTGATGTTTCCTCAGATACTTTACCCTCAACCTGTGCGTCATCTTCCCTACATATTGAATTTGAGGTACTCAGGGGACACCCTCCTGAATTAAGTGACCTAGTTGGTCACTTAAGCCAGAAACCCAGAAATGATCCTCAATTCTTTCTTCACTCTTCCTTCCACATCAGAATGGTCACTGTATATTTCAGTAATATCTCCTGTGTTTAAAATTTTTTTCTTCCTTTCCAGTCTTCCCTTCATTTGGCTCCTGGACTATTGCATTAGACTTCAGTCTGGTCTTCTTTGTTCCCTTACAAGCCATTCCAACACTGTTTCCACAGTGTCTCTTCTGAAATGTAGATGACGATAATCTCTAACTTGAAGTACTTGAATGATTTCTTCTTGCCATATATCCATAAGCCCTGACCTTAACATGGTTTGTAAAGGCTGCATAATAGAGTTCATATTTTCCTCTCTACATCACCTGGCATCTCTCTCTCCACGTACTTCTGTCTGAACCGTGAAATTACTACTTCCTTCCTCAGCTCCCTTTCCTCCATTTTGCTAGAAGCTAAACAGCTGCTCTGCCTCAACTTTTTCTGGATGGCCTGGAAAATTCCTCCCCTCCCCATCTTTTTTTTCTTTTTTTTGTGATGGAGTTTCGCTCTTTTGCCCAGTCTGGAGTGAAGTGGCACGATCTTGGTTCACTGCAACCTCCACGTCCTGGGTTCAAGCGATTCTTCTGCCTCAGCCTCCCGAGTAGCTGGGATTATAGATGCCCGCCACCATGCCCAGTTAATTTTTGTATTTTTAGTAGGGACGGGGTTTTGCCATGTTGGCCAGGCTGTTCTTGAACTCCTGAACTCAGTTGATCCACCCTGCTCAGCCTCCCAAAGTGCTAGGATTATAAGCATAAGCCACCGTGCCCAGCCCCTCCCCATCTTTGAAGACAACTCATATGTTACCTCCTCTTTGGTTCTTTTGCACTTTATACTTTTTTTGGTTGCTTGTTTGTTTTTTACTTGAACTTAGAAGTTACATTGCGTTGTATTCTGTTTGTATTTACTTACATGCCTTTCTTCTTATACATCTTTACCTCTTAAGATAGGACCCGTAGCTTATTTTAGAGTACCTGTGAATCTAATGTAGTTGTTAGCAAAGAATAGGTATTTTAAAAATATGTTGAATCATGCAAAATTTTGTAACTCTTAAATATTTTTAAATGATTATAAGAACAAAGTAGAACTTAAAAATGATAATGGCTATTATGAATTTCACTCAAATTAACCACTGTTCTTTAGAATAAAAAGGAAAAGCCCCCAATAACTAAACTTTGTATCTCAGAAAAAGATTTCCAGTAGATGGCGTTATAAGACTATTTTTCTGTTTTTCTTACCATCCCTTTCACTGATAGAATTAAAGTTTGTTTCTTTCTGATTGCTATGGTTTATGAAAATGATTACATCTATATAAAATCATCTTATGGACAGATTAAGCATCCAGAAAAACTCAGTTAACGCATCTTTGGGACTTCTGAGTCTGTTATTTTCCCCAGCTAGCCAGCCAATTCTCTGCAGTAATCTTTCTCCCTCCCTTTCTTATTCTTTAATTCATTCAAAAATATATTTACGGAAAACCTATTATTTGTAGGCAGTAGGCAATTGTCTGATGATACATTGGTAAAGTAAGATAGGTGTGGATTTATTTTATGCTTAGCCTTCCTTCGTTTTCACATGTATCCTGAGTGTTAGAACAGGTAATGAGAAGGGTATACTCTAGTGGCTAAGAGCTGGGGTCTAGAGGAAGACTTTCCAGTCACCGAGCTAGCTGTTATCTTAGGGATGGTACTTCTGCCTTCGCTTCCTGCACTGTTCAGTGGACATGGTAGCCAAACCTATGTCATAGGGATGTTGTGATGGTTACATGAATGAATATTGTGAAGCATTTGGGACAGTGCCTGGCTCAAAAAATGTTAGCTATTATTATTTTTATTATCACTTGTTATTATTATATTTATTACCACAATTGCCTTTGCTCACGAACCAGCTGGGCAGCATGAATTGGGTGTTTTCAGTGACCTATGAATCCATAATTGATGAGTTATCACCCTACTATCCCTGATCTGCCTAAGGAGCCAGAGATTCTAAAATATTTTAAAAACTTGAGAAACAGAAATGTTTATGGTTATGCTTTTATTAATTCTTTAGATGTGATATGTGTGGTTTTAATGGGCTCTTGTTATGTTTGTGTTGCTGCTGCTAATCCTGTTAATTAAGTACTACATTATGCAGGTTTCTTGGAGAGGCCAGGACAGCTAGGTTCTTGTCATTAAAATCCAGCAGTTGTGGTCAGGCTTCATGTGCAGTGTTGTTAGCCACTGAGATGAAGGTGAAGCCTTCTCATTTGGTTCGTGGCCTTTTGGGTCAGGTAACAAACGTGTGTAATATGAGCCTGCAGGGAGATGTTGGGGAACTGAACCTCACTTCTTTTTATTGCAGATTCCACTGTGTAAAGTAATTAGATTCAACATAGACTACACGATTCATTTCATTGAAGAGATGATGCCAGAGGTAAGGGAAAAGATTGTGTAATGGTTTGATGTCGTTTGCTCTTTTGCTTATTCCACACTACTATTTTAAAGCATTGAACTTGGCCAGATCTGGCTTTTGCCAGGAATATCTCTAAAGTATCATATTCACTGTTGAAAGAGTCAGTTAAATGTAGCTCTAATATCAAGGTTAAAATTCAGGCCAATTTTCAACTTGTTGACCTGTTTTTGAACCGATTTCTCCTTGTGTTACATCTGCTGATACTAACTTTACATCTGTTTCTAGTTTCTTTTACGTAGGGGACAGATTTTGGTTACTGGTTGTTATCAGAGGGGAGATTGGAATAGTGAAACAATCTGATAGCTGTTGTAATCATCTCACTCATTATCTCTAATGACAAGATCAATGCTTGGTTCATTTTTCTTCCCATATATTTACATATTTTTCCTAATTGTTTTTCATTGCGGGTGCTCAGCAGCAGATTTATCTAAATATATGCAAGAGATTTAAAATTCCAAAGGAAGATTAATGTGAATCTCAGAATGATTCATAGTCTGATCTTGAATTTAGTGGTGCCGACAAATCATACTAAGAAATAACAACTAGACAGCAAACAAGCTTGTGCACTTAACATTGTGTTGGAGTCAGGGTCAATTTCCGGAGCCCCTGGCTCTGCTTACAAACCTTGTTTAATGGGACAGCTCTGTCATGGGCAGGGAGCATGGAGGGGGAAATTGATGGGCATGACATGTGTGCCTAGTTGGCACCTGTTTCATTCTGAGCAAGTCTTGTTCATTGTACCTTCCTTTCAAAAAGAATTAAATAAAAAGAACCACCCCTTCATTCTTCTGCTCTAGAAGGGATTTTTTTTTTAACTTCCTTTTGGTTTTTAAGGTCATATACCTTCATTTGCTATTGTAAAAGTTTATGACTTTTGGCGTGATCTCACGCAGGGTAATTTATGAACCCCGAGCAAAACAAGTAGGAGGAAGAATTATGAGATAAGTCTCACTTGCAAATATATCATCTGTTTAGCTTGTTTACAGGAGAAATTTTGGTGCAGAGTTGTATAGTTTTTCTTAGCCCTTTATTTGCATTCATTATGAATTTGAACTTTTTGGGTACACATGACCTCTGTTTTTTTGTAACTCCATGACCGTTATTCTGGATGTGTGAGGCGGGGGTCGGGGACAAGCCTATCAGGTGCATATGTGTAATCTGAATTAACAAAACATCCTCAGAAGATTCTCACACAGTTTATAATTGAATTAGAAAAATATATTAATATAAGTGAGACTTTACTTTTTAAAAAATTTCTCATTTTATTTGTATACTGAGAAGGGCTAAGTTGACATTAAGGAATCCTAATGGCATTATTGTCTATTTCATTTCCGTCTGAAACTAGTGATCAGTGGCTAAACTTTTCAGAAAACTATATGGTCTTAGTATAGTTTTAACAGACATTTTTAAAGACACTTGACAAGAACAAGTTGAACCTTCAGTTAATATATATTTTGCCAATTTACAGTAATTTAATTTTGGTTTATTTTTCAGAATTTTTGTGTGAAAGGGCTTGAACTCTTTTCACTGTTCCTATTCAGAGATATTTTGGAATTGTATGACTGGAATCTTAAAGGTGAGTAATAGGATTTAAAGAAGAGAGTAATGCTTATAGAAGAATGCTATGGTATATGTGAAAACTCTTATAAAAATTGTAGGGAGATAGTTGAAATTTCTCTTACTTTTTAAAAAGTAAGAAATTTCTCTTTTTAAAATAGAGAAAAGTGTTATTCACAGGAATGCTTGTTATCATTTGACATGAATAAGTTTCTATGGATTTTACTTTATACAGTTTGACAGTGCTTATTATTAGCTGGTAGCAGCTTAAAGATGATACCAGTTATTATGTGTAACTACCTCGATATATGTGTACCTGGGAAATTACCATTAGTTAATATTTTAAATCTAGTAAACTTTGCTGCAATGAATCTTCTAAGATGGAAGTTTATTTAAATGCAAAACTTTGGTTAGTCATTAAAACACACACACACAGGCTGGGCGCGGTGGCTCAAGCCTGTAATCCCAGCACTTTGGGAGGCCGAGACAGGCGGATCACGAGGTCAGGAGATCGAGACCATCCTGGCTAACCCGGTGAAACCCCGTCTCTACTAAAAAATACAAAAAACTAGCTGGGCGAGGTGGCGGGCGCCTGTAGTCCCAGTTACTTGGGAGGCTGAGGCAGGAGAATGGCGTAAACCCGGGAGGCGGAGCTTGCAGTGAGCTGAGATCCGGCCACTGCACTCTAGCCCGGGCGACAGAGCGAGACTCCGTCTCAAAAAAAAAAAAAAAAACCACACACACACACACACACACACACACACAGATGCACACATGCAGATACTTAGAGTGGACTAGATTAATTCAAAGACTTGATGCTTGGTTCTTGGATAGTAGCTTACTCTTTTGGAAGTATCTGTATTCTAACAAACAGTTACTTATTTATTGATGAATGGCTTTTCAAACTGATAGCATTTCTCAACATTTTTTAGTGTAGTGATTAAAATGGGAAAGAATGAACACATAGTCACATTATATCATGTAATAATTCAATTATAATTAGTCTTGATAACTTTGAATTTTAAAAATAATTTTACTATATATATTTGCGCTTGGGGCTTTCATCCTCTTCTTGCCTTCGCGTAGTCTCCTCATTGCAGTCGTCCTTGGGTACTTGTGGCAGTTACCAATGATTGATTTAGCCACTGAGGAGGAGTGGCAGGAGGTGGTGGTATTTTTTATGCCTTTATTTCTGGTGGTAGTTTTTGTGGTTATCATATATCTTAGAAATTAAGTTGCAGTGCTTGTTTTTTAAGACTGTTTGAGTTTTCTTTTCTTTTTTTTTTTTTCTCTCATTTGTTTGCTTCAGGTCCTTTGTTTGAAGACAGTCCTCCCTGCTGCCCAAGATTTCATTTCATGCCACGTTTTGTAAGATTTCTTCCAGGTAAATCTTCTGGCTTGTCAGTGACCTGGTGAGATAGTGCATCTGAAAATAAGCTTGCCGTTTTCCTTTCAATCTTCAGGGACAACTTTCCCACCTTAGGTACTGTTAATTATCTACTTCTCAGGTTAGGCATGGAAATGTAAAATATACATGTGGATTTATGTCCCTGCATAAATTATGGTAGCCCAAATTAGATGAACAATGGAAGAACAGATTTATAAATTTTAGAAATCTACTTGACAAAACATCATGCAGATGTGTTAATGTGGAAAAATGATTGTGGCTTAAAAAATGTATATGGCTAATTGGAAAACAATAACATTTTAAATGTAATATGATTATAACTGTGCCGCAAAAAATACTGTAATAATAGTTGCATTAAGGTAGTAGGATTATAGTGATTTTTTTCCTGTCTTTTGACATGTGTTTGAATTCATTTTGCAGTGAAAAAAAGATATAAAATAATTTTTTCTCCCAATAAAATATATAAGGAAATATATGACAGTTTTTAAAAGCAATATTTTAACTTTTCTAATTTTTTAAAAAGAATCCAACTGTAATGTTTGGCATTATATTTGGTATTTTTAAAAATGCTTAGAGTCAGTTTAGTGACATGTACCTATAGTCTCAGCTATTTGGGAGGCTGAGAAGGAAGGATCACTTTAGCCCAGTGGGGGTTTGAGACCAGCATGAGCAACATGGCGAGGCCTTGTCTCTAAAATTAAAAAAAAAAAAAAAAAAATATATATATATATATATATATATATTTAATGAAATCTTTTGGTTGCCTTTTTGATTGCAAAATCTTTCTCCTTGAGGCTTCTGCCACCCTATTCCCACTCCTTCTTTATTTATTTCCTAGTCAATTACCTGCTTTATCAAGTGCTGTGAAACCTGGCTTACGGTTTCCTCTCTCTACAAGGTTCTGTTACCAGCCTGGTTAACTTCACTTATGATTCTACCCTGAGCTATATAATTATTTGACTTTTTCTACTGTAATGATTGTCACCACTCAGTTGCTTAATCTTAAGATAAAAACTTTGGACCACGCCACCACCCTACGTTAATTTCTCCCTAGAATTTGACTCCAGTGTCTCACTTTCTGGTGACATCCTTCAGTCTAGCCTCTCGTGTCCCTATTGCCTTTTGCTTCTACTTGGATCTTCCATCTTCTCCTTATGTACGGCTACTTTCCTTTGCCTTCCCCACCAGGTCCTGTGCTCTGACATTTATCCTGTCAGTCCTAGCTGTCTCAGCTGCTTATATGGCCACCATCTCCAAGTTAATGTCATCAATCCAACTGCTTGCCTTTTCTTCTGTGTGTGGGCCGCTCAGTAGTACTGGAGAATAAAACATAGCTGCTGCTATAAATCTGCGGTCTATAATCTTGGTTGGGGAGGTTTTCTTTGTGTAACCTTTCCACCCAGTATCAGCAGTTAAAGAATTTCAATCCTGTGTTCATGCTGTCCTCCTTATGCCTCTTGTCCTCCCATGGGCAGGAGCCCCTGTCTCCCTCGGTCAGGAACCCTTGTCTCCCTCGGTCAGGAGCCCTTGTCTCCCTCATGCCTGAGAGCCCTGCAGTGAGCCTGTCGGAGTCTGGCTTTCTCCAGTGCCCTTGTCCATTCACAACCAAGTTTTGCTTCAGTGCCAGACCCCCTCTAACTGTCCCTAGCCCACTGCAGCTGCCGATGCCAAAGGCAGCCTCCTGCAGACCAAGTACAGAGGACGTGCCTCAGTGTTAGTCTCTTCCTTGCTCTGGTGCCTGGGTGCTCCTTACTTTCCTCCTGTCTCTTTGACTCCTCTTGTGTGGCTTTAGTTTCTTGTCTACTCTGTCTGGTTTAGATTTTTGTCAAGATTTTTTCCTGATACTGTTTCCTCAGTCCAGACAGTCAAAATGGCTTAGTTTATTTTAGGTTAGCATTACTCAGATTTTTAGTATTACTCTTCATGTTTATTTTGTTTAGAAATGCATTCAAAAGCTTTTCTTCTCTTTATATCTGGTTTTGTTTTATTGAGATGCCCTTTCTTCTCTTCTGGTGAATGAATCTTTTGATTTTAGACTGGAGCTTCAGCAGTAAACTTATTAGAAAATGGTGTTAGAGTGAATTTGCTGAAAAGCCTTTTCCTTTCTATATCTACTTTCCTCTAGGCATTTTATGACCAAACAGATGTCTGAGAGAAAGTGGGCAGTTTTAAAATCTCCTTAAAGAAAAATCTGATGTTGGATATTTACTTTGTGGGATTTCAACTCTCACATAACTATGTAGGGATAACATTTAGGTTGTCATAAAGAAAAAGGTCTATTGATTTGTTTTTAAACAGAGTTTACCTTTTCATTAGACTCCCCTTTGAAAATATGCATATTAGGAAGACCCTGAAGGATACTGAAAAATATCTAATATATAAAATGCATTTTGGTATTAGATAGGAAATTATGGTTGATTTGTTTTTCATAATGTGACCTTGTTAAAGATCTTTTAGAAAATGGTGAATTAAAAACAAAAGACATTTTGATATATATGTTTTCATTTTTTTCTGTGCATAAGGGTATTTTTTACGTAGTTGTCATCTACTAGATACGATTTGCATCTATTTTTTAATAATTCATTGAGCAGATGGATATTTTTAAATATCGTGATATATAGTGCCAAATTTCTTGTCAAAAGAATAACATCAGTTTGTGCTGCCATGAAAAATGCATTATTATTCATTTTTAGCATTTTAGGCTTGCTCATCTTTCTTCTCTTCTTTCTTTCTTTTAAAAAATTTCAGTGGTGAGTTACATGAGGCTGAAGAGTAAACATTTGTCTGTCTTGTTGTATCCCTAGTCCTAACATACTTTATGGCACGTAGCAGGGACTCAGTAAATACTTGCTTACTGATTTTATTTAATTGGTCATAATAATGCCTTATCTAAATATTCATGTTTTTGGTTACTAGTGATTGTGCTTTTCAAGTAGTCTCTGGTATTATCTCTCATTTTTATAAAGTAAACTTTTGATTTAACTGTAACATAAATCCTGAAAAGTGCATGTATCATGAATATAGGACCTTAATGAGTTTTTACGAAGTGAATATGACCATCCACCCAGCACCCAGATCAAGATTAGTAGCTTCCGAGAACCCCCTTAGGACCCCTTTCCAGTCGCTGCCGAGACCCTCAAGGGTAACCGCTATTCTGACTTGAAACACCATGTATTAGTTTTACCTGTTTTCGAACTATGAAAACTAGAATTTTATATTCTCTTTTGCTTCCATCTTTTGTTTAATGTTTTTCAGAATCATATCCTGTTGCACTTAACTGTAGTTGGCTCATTCTCACTACTATGTAGTATTACATGGGATGACTAAATTAAAATAAACCTATCTATGATTAATGGACATTTGGGTATTTTCAGTATATATATATATGTGTGTATGTATATATTCATGACATTTATATTCATGTTATATGTTCCTATATATGTACATATATTCACTATATATCTGAATCTGTATATTTGAATAGCATATGTACGTTCACCAAAGACCTGTACATATCATTTAGTGAGCACATATATATATTTTTCTGTTACATATATACCATACCAAGTGGAATTCTGGGTGTGTGTATATTAAGCTTTGTAGACACTTTCAGTTCTCCAAAGTGACTGGGCTGTTTTACCTTCTTATTCACAGTGTATGAAAATTCAAGTTATTTCACATTCTCACCACTTGGCATTTATTTTTTTCTTTGTCAATTTAGCCATTCTGATGTGTGTTCAGAAGTATCACATTATGATTTTAATTTGCATTCTCCTAATGACTAATACAATGGAGTACCATTTCATATACTTATTGGGTACCTAGAGAGTGTTTTTTTTTAAAGTGTCCATTCAAGTCTTTTGCCCGTTTTTCTATTGGGCAATATCAGCCTTTTTCCCATTTTTTTTTTTTTTTTTTAAATTTCAGGAATTTTTTTTTTTCTTTTTTATTATACTTTAAGTTCTAGGGTACATGTTTGTTACATACGTATACATGTGCAGGTTTGTTACATATGTATACATGTGCCATGTTAGTGTGCTGCACCCATTAACTCGTCATTTACATTAGGTATATCTCCTAATGCTATCCCTCCGCCCTCCCCCCACCCCACAACAGGCCCCGGTGTGTGATGTTCCCCTTCCTGTGACCAAGTGATCTCATTGTTCAGTTCCCACCTATGAGTGAGAACATGTGGTGTTTGGTTTTCTGTTCTTGCGATAGTTTGCGCAGAATGATGGTTTCCAGCTGCATCCATGTCCCTACGAAGGACAGAAACTCATCCTTTTTTATGGCTGCATAGTATTCCATGGTGTGTATGTGCCACATTTTCTCAATCCAGTCTGTCATTGATGGACATTTGGGTTGGTTCCAAGTCTTTCCTATTGTGAATAGTGCCGCAGTAAACATATGTGTGCATGTGTCTTTATAGCAGCATGATTTATAATCCTTTGGGTATATACCCAGTAATGGGATGGCTGGGTCAAATGGCATTTCTAGTTCTAGATCCTTGAGGAATCGCCACACTGTCTTCCAAAATGGTTGAACTAGTTTACAATCCCACCAACAGTGTAAAAGTGTTCTATTTCTCCACACACTCTCCAGCACCTGTTGTTTCCTGACTTTTTAATGATGGCCATTCTAAGTGGTATGAGGTGATATCTCATTGTGGTTTTGATTTGCATTTCTCTGATGGCTAGTGATGATGAGCATTTTTTCATGTGTCTGTTGGCTGCATAAATGTCTTCTTTTGAGAAGTGTCTGTTCATGTCCTTTGCCCACTTTTTGATGGGATTGTTTTGTTCTTGTAAATTTGTTTGAGTTCTTTGTAGGTTCCGGATATTAGCCCTTTGTCAGATGAGTAGATTGCAAAAATTTTTTCCCATTCTGAGGTTTCCTGTTCACTCTGATGGTAGTTTCTTTTGCTGTGCAGAAGCTCTTTAGTTTAATTAGATCCCATTTGTCAATTTTGGCTTTTG